TTGGTTTTTTCGTGTGAATTATTTGTATTTGTTGGAATCACTCGTCTTGAAACTAGAAAGTGATAATATTGGAAATTGCTCAGCAGAACCGCAGATTTTAAAGAATTAGTGAAGATTCCTATCATCCCAACCTCTTTCCCTTCCTTTCCTATTTTCCTACCTCATCCTTTTGGTTGGATTCTACGTGGGAGCACTCAAAGGTAGGAATTTTCATTTACCTCTTCCCTATCGTTGTCTCCGCCGCGAAACAACCTAGGTATTATCATTGATTAAACATATTTGATTTAGATACGGTGTGTTTGAACTCTAATAGAAGCTGTGGATAATGTGATCTTTGAATTTTTCGATGTTTTACAAAGTTTATAAAACCGGTGTGTTGTAGTGCTTATTACATACCATCACACTTATAAATTGTCGTGGTTTCCTCTTACTAGAGGAATTCGAAAAAAAGCAAAGAATAATTATGTGCTTTTACTCAAGATACAGTGATGAGTGGTTCAAGTTTTATCTAACTACTACAAATGTAAAAACTGAAATTTTTGAAATTGAAGGTTTTTCGATATACCTACACTGTTTATTCATTTTTTGTTGATTGTTGTTAAAGCTGATATGATTTACATGTTTTATGTTTTTATGAATTAATGTGGATAATATGATAAAAATAACAGAATAAGGCTTTGAAAAGTGTTCCATCGACTATTAATCCTAGAAAATGCCTTTCGGCGTTTATTTTTTTATACATGGGTATCGTTATACTTAGGTGTTATTACCTAATGTAAGTAGGTCGTGTGGTAGGTATACATGATGTGAATAAAACTTAACTTATAACCATTTTTATACATAATTGATACCAAATATGTACAAAGGTTGTCAAAGGTTTTAAATGCTAATGGTTGAAAATGTATTTTTGAAGTAGATAATTTTTAACTTTGTTACGAATAAAAGAATAATTTAAATTTGTTAAATATCGTAATAAGAACCCTTGAAACTAACAGCGGTCCCAAACAAACTCTATGATTATTTTATTAATTAAATTGTATTCTTTGTCTCTATATAAAAAATTGCTGCCAATCTTAGACATTACAGATGTTGCCACCCGACACATTTTCTTGTCGGCGCCTATGGGTTGCAGGTGTTGTTCCCTAATTTTGTCTGACTCTTCACATATCACATTTACAGCTTTTGTTGTTATCCTAATTAACGTATACCTGATTACCTGATCCTTTTACTGATATTTTCAAGGGTTGAAAGCTTGTAGGTACTAACCAATATACAGGGTGAATAGAAAGTATGGAACTAAGCGGTTTTATTTTTAATCATTTGCTTCCAGAAAATAATAATTAATATAAATTAAAGTAATATAAAAAATCTGATCGTATTTTCAGAAAGAAATTTTGTTTTGTTTTTGAGTTATGCGATTTTTTTTGTCAAAATTGCAATTTATGTGAAAAAATTTTTTTGAAAAAATTAAATATAAAGCAGATAGTTGTAATCTTTAGAGTATAGCTTTTATGAGAAAAATGATTTTATAGTGGGTTGTCATTTAAAAAAATACAGGGCGATTCAGATAAGATAATGAGCCTGACGATCTGGCGATGCAACCCAAAAAACAGATTTCATTTACGTTTTGATCTAATTTTAATTACGATTTGCATTTGCAATCCAAGTTATCTTATGTTGCTCTGATAGTGCTTTGACATGCAATTTATGATTTAAAAAAAAACTGTTTGCCTACCTTTAATGTTTCATTGTTTCATACATTTTGTATTGGGTTTACACTGAAAAGACTTCTCTAATTTCTCTATCATTCCGCGAGAACTGAATGGCACTAATAATCGTTCTCTGCTCTAATGTCAGAGTGACACCAAGATGATAACTTGGATTCAACTTGCAAATCCTAATTGAAATTGGATCAAAGGCGTAAATGAAATTTGTTTTCTGGGTTGCATCGCCAGATCGTCAGGCTCATTATCTTATCTGAATCGCCCTGTATTTTTTTTTTTGTAGAACTCAAAAATAAAAGGAAATATCGAAAATTTTTATTCTTGTTAAATCATCACATTTTTATAGTACTTTATCACTCATTGTAATTGTATCTGAAGGACTAATATTCCGTTTGCTTTTTGAATATATATACAGGGTGTTTCACATAATTTACGAGGCCTACGCCTGTAAGATGCAATCAATAATACATATTCCGATACGAACTCGATTACAAATTTTGAAAAATTGGGTAATCTTCTCTAGTTTGTTCACTTTTTAAAAAATTACAAACAACGTTTTTAGTTACTTAGTGATTAAGATAGATAAACTACAATCATATTCATGCCGTCTCTTGATAGAACAAATGATAATTGTTTCTGAAAAACTGCAGTTTATGACTATTAATGAAACAGTGATTAGTTTGACAACTACTGTCATGGGTTTCCAAAAATTAAATAATTAAATGTGTATTTTTTGTATCCAGTGTTCTGTGACTTTTGTATATTTGGGTGCGTACATTCGGCGCAAGCGTCGTAAAGATATGTGAAACACATACATACATATTAAAATTGAAATGAATTGGCAACATTTTGTTTTGGTGTGTTTCAAAGGTTTATTTAATGTTAAATCGTTAATCAGCGTTCTGCGTTTAAGCAGAAGTCCATTTATTATTTTTTTTCCCAATACGATCATAATAAAACCATTGAAAACAGAGCAATCATTTAATGAGTCACCTTCTGGTAAACTCATGATGGCCTGCTATTGAGCTTAATCCTCATAAAAAATCCTAAGACAATTCTCTTCTGAACACAATGAAGTGCAGACTTTTGACCTGCGGCGATGGGTTTCGAACTATTTATGGTAAGGGTATTTACGTGCCGCTGTGAGGGCGATAAAAGAACTTGAATTTGTTTCCAAATATTCATGAAAGTACTTAAGACATAATGAGTTATAGCACTTGATATGAATTTCTTAGAATTTTAACAGTTGTGTGCAAGTTGTTTTAGGAACTTAAAAACAAGACAACTGGACAATAACAAACAAATATCATTCACTTATCATCAAAAATAAATATAAAGATCTAATATATACAGTATAGAATCATTTGCATTATGGAAAATTCATTATTCGTTGTTCGATTATTGTACTTACATCTTGTCATATTATTGTAACCCGTATTTTTTAATAAAATTAAAAAAAAAATCATCTCTAAATTCGACATTCTTATTTTGTAAAATTATGGGAGACATGTATGAGAGATAAATATCGAGTGGTTGGTCTGTTAATTTTATGAAGAAAAATGGTTTTTAAGACAACAATTATAAATCGAGATCGTAACTTAAAATTGAGCTACCGTTAGGGACCGAGATTTTTAAACTATAAAATTTGTGTTTTATTTAAAAATTTTCCCAACGCCAATATTGGATCAAAAATTTTGCTAAATTCAAAAATTGTTATAAAGAAATTTGTCAGAATTGACAAAATGCCAAGATAAATGTATTTTATGTACTTATAAAATACGATGTGATTGACGACGTATTTATTTCATATAAAAGTGTATATTAACAACATAAGAGGTAAGCCTAAATGCACCATACAAACGTCATAAGGTATTGGAAAATGTTGTAAAATAATATGTTTCTTATATGTATTTGCGGCAATATTTTAATCTTTTAAGGACAAGTATGACCCCAGTTAACTAATTGTTTTATATCTATCGAATACTTTTCAAGTACCTACCTAGTAATAGTATACAGATGAATGAGTAAATATTTACGCGATGATATGTACTAATAATATGTACTAATTAAATTGATCATTTCCAAAATGTTTTAAATAATGTTGAAAATCACTAGTATAGAATATTATTAAAACAACTCTCATGGTTTTTTAACATTGTTTTAGTTATTTAGACACTTTGATTTTTTATTTATGTATACAGCGAAAGCAAGCATATTTGGTCACCCTTTTCTAATCGTACTCTCAAATCTGCTTATTAATATAATAATGGAAGACATATTTCTTTTAAGGTTCGGCAGTTGGTTGGTAAGCAAGTCGTCGTTGTAACAATCCAATACCGCTTGGGTTCCTTGGGATTTCTAAGCACGGGAACCAAGACACTTCCTGGCAACGCTGGCTTGTGGGACATGGTGTTAGCGGTTACGTGGACCCGAAATTACATTGGCTTTTTTGGTGGTAACCCTAACAATATTGTCGTAATGGGTCATGGTACTGGTGCTAGTAGCGCTATTATGGTGGCATTATCTAATGTTGCGAAGGGTTTAACCAGTGGAATTGTAGCCATGTCTGGAAGTTCACTTTCCCAATTTGCTACTGACGATGCTCCTGCAAACACTGCAATGGATGTGGCTGAAGCGAATGGGTGTCCAGTTGGGTCTGAACTTACCATGGTTAGATGTTTACAAAATTTGTCACCTGCTGCTATAATAAAAGTAAATTTGCTGATTTTTTATTTACGTTTTGTTTAGATAATTTTTGTATACAGGTAGATTCAGTTATTGAAGCAACACGTTTGCAAAATCGCGGATTTGTTTCCGGCCTTGCAGGAAAGCTTGGATCCGCTCCCGTATTTGAAGGCCGAAGAGATGGTCGTTCTTTACCACCAGTTGCAGAAGTCGAACCTGTAAACGATCCAGAAACTTCTCAAGCGAAAATTCCGCTATTAACGGGGATAACAAAAGATGAAACAAAGAGGGCCTGTCACGGGCAATTCAGAGATGAAATTACCAACAAATTGCAAAAAGTTCCTGAATTTTTAGATAAGGTACTCGTTAAGAATCTTCAAAATGCTATTGGAATAAGTCGAGACAAAAATTCAACTTCTGGCAAGTTTCTAAATCTTCTGGATCCCAACCAATTTAAAAACTATCTTCAATATAAGAGAAACAACATTCATGAGGGTCTCGGTAAAATAGCTGAAGCCACAGCAGATGCTTTATTCAACGCTCCAGCTTTTCTAACCGCCGATGCTTGGTCAAAACGAGGCGCACCCGCGTTTTTGTACCGATTTGAACATGTTGGTAAACGAAGAAAAGGGTTCAATTTTTTGAGAGGGCTACCACTTGTCGGAAATAATTCTCAAAGTAAGCTTCATTACTAGTTAGGTCAGATACTATTTGACACTTTAGTTTTAAATAACATTTAATCAAATAACACAGGACGACAAAAAAAAAAGTCATGTTGTGACAACTTGACAAATTTTACATCATTTTGTTCGTCTCAGTGGGACAAATCAAATGCACTAAAAAAAATTCAAAAAATCCACACTTTGAACTAAATTTTTTTTTTTCTAATTTAAATAAATTTAAAATACTTTAACATTAAAAAAATCATTACTCAATAACTATTAGGCTGATTTCCTTCAAATAAAGACCATTCTGAACGGATGGACTTCCCTTTAGAATGATATGCAATTTGAAATTGAATATTGGCAAACTTTTCTTCGAACACTGTTCGAAGAAGTTCGAAGTAATCTCAGAAAAACCCTACGAGTAATTTTTTTCTTTGTCACCATCGTGTAGAGCATCTTTTTATTAGTTGGAATCCAAATTTTTAAAATAATATACCAAGTAGTTTTTAAGATATGATTTTTTTTAAAGTTAAGGTTTGCTAGTCAGCTATTGCGTCATGTAAGAGAAATGCATGTTAATCTTACTTAAAATTGCATTTTTATAAAAGTATTTGTTTTAAGACTTCTTTTGCTTAAAAATAGTTAATTGCACCTTCTTTGTTCTAATTATAATAAACAAAAACTGTTTCTTTACTTAAAACAAACAAAGATTACCTGCGTACTAATTAAAGCAAATAAAGAGTTTTTTTGTTCTTAAAATGATCACTGATCATTGAGCAAAGAGGATCTAGAAGTTTAAAGCAGTAGCTTTAAATACAAGAACAAATCTATTTCAAATTAAATCACTTTCTATTCAGATTCCAACTTGTACACTTTGTTCTAGCTTTCTGTACTTTTTTTTTGAAAATGTTCTCAGCAAGTGCTTTCTCATCACTTTCTACTGATGTTGAATGCAATAAGTTAGTTGCTTGGTGTGCAACTGTTATCACAACAACTACTACTTACCTACAAGCTAACTGAAGCTAATCATAGAATGTACCAACAAAATAAATCAGGTGACTTATTGCATTTAAGTTATGAGAAAGCATTTGCTTAGAACATTTTCAAAAAATGTTCAGAAAGCTAGAACAAAGTGAACAAGTCGAAATCTGAATGGGAAGAAATTTGATTTGAAAATGATTTGCCCTTAAGGCACGTGCCTTAAACTTCTAGATCCTCTTTGCTCAATGATCAGTGGTCATTTTTACAACAAAAAAACTTTTTATTTGCTTTACTTAGTACGCAGGTACACTTTATTTGTTTTAAATAAACAAACAGCTTTTGTTTATTCTAATTAGAACAAAGAAGGTGCAATTGACCATTTTTAAGCAAAAGAAGAGTTTTAAAACAAACACTTTTATAAAAATGAAATTGTAAATAAGATTAACATGCATTTCTCCTACATGGAGCAATACTTGATTAGCAAACCTTAACTTCAAAAAATGATATCTTGAAAACTACTCCGTAAATTCTTTTGAAAATTTGGATTACAACTAATAAAAAAAAGCTCTACACGATGGTAATGATGAAAAAAAAAATACTCGTAGGGTTTTTCTTAAATTATTTCGATTTACTCTGAAGTTCTTCGAGCACTGTTCAAAGAAAAGTTTGCCAATATTCAATTTCAATTTTTATATCATTCTAAAGGGCAAATCCATCCCTTTAGAATGGTCATTATTTGAAGGACATTGGCCTAATGGTTATTGAGTAATGATTTTTTAAAGTAAAAGTATTTTAAATTCATTTAAATTAGAAGAAAATTATTTAGTTCAAAGTGTGTGGACTTTTAACATTTTTTTAGTGCATTTGATTTGTCTCACTGAGACAGGGTGTTCCGTTTTTATTGTTACAAATTTAAACAGGTGATAGAATATTCAATTTTAAGACAAAAGTTTCCTATAAACATGTATCGAAAAATGCTACGCAATGGAGTTACATCCCCTCAAAAGGCTGTGTCTTTTAACGGGTTTTTCCCAATATTTCAGAAACCACAGTAGATAAAATTACAAAATTGGGTACAACTGATTACATTTATACATTCAAACGAATTTAAAGATAAAATGTTAAAATTTTTACTCAGGGGCGTTCTAAACTGGAGGGATTTAGGGTAAAAAGTACTATCTTGGTTGTTGGTTCTTGCTACTTTCAGCCACAAAATTCTAAATTCCATATTTTTTTACAAAAAAAAGGTCTCTTGCGTTTTTTCGATACAACTTACAGTTTTTGAGTAACGTTAGTTTACAATTTGTTTTACAGACCATAAAGAGGATAAAAACTAAAAATTAAATTCGTTTTACTATTTAAGACGCCCGTGATTAAAAATTTCGACAACTAATCTTTGAACTCGTTCAGGTGTTTAAAGGTTATCAGCTGTACCAATTTTTGTAATTTTATCTATTCTTCAATAGTGGGAAACCTCCATTAAAAAACGCATCTCTTTCCGGGGGTGTAGCTCGCTTACAAAACATTTGATATTGATATAATGTTTGTAGGAAACTTTTGTCTTAAAATTGAATATTCTATCACCTGTTTAAGTTTGTAACAATAAAAACGGAACACCCTGTATAATTTGTCAAGTTGTCACGACATGACTTTTTTTGTCACCCTGTGTAAGAACACTAACAGAAAAAAGACAATCTTTTTAACATTTTTTTTCAGGTGATGATGTTTCCAATGACACAGTATCCCACGGTGATGAACTTTCTTACATCTTTGACGCTCAAGATATGCAAGGCAAGTCGTTAGACTCAGACACAGGCAACGAAGAAGACAATAAAGTTCGTGATATCTTTACTCAGATGATAGCGGATTTTGCTCGTCATGGCAAACTCAGTGTAGAGGGTCAACACGTGAAACCCTTTTCTATCACTGACAACAATTTTGTTCAAATTTCACCAAAACCGAAGGTGTCCAATGGTTTTAGATATTGCGAAATGGGGCTGTGGTTGGGGTTGGCTCAAAGATTGCAGAGTAGCACTTGTGAACTTTTCAAAGTTTTGGATTCTCAACTGAAGAATATAGATTTAGGCAGTGGCACGAAAAAACTTGGAGAAACAATTACTGGTATTGTCAAAGGAGGTGGTAAGAGACCACAGGATGTAATTTCAAAACCTACAGGGCTTTTAAGTGGGAATAAAGACAAAAAGGTTTTTGGAATTGGGGGATGAAGATGATTTAAATTAATATCAAATATGCTTTTATTATCACTATATGTAAAAATGGCTTTCTTGTAATGTAATAAATACCTATGTTAAATATTACCGTATTCTTAATCTTTTGTAAACAAAGTTAGCCAGCCATAAGGTTCCAGTGAAAAAATGCATAACTGCTACAAGACGGAAACAGGTCTTGAATGTTACATCTAAAATTCGTAAGATAGAGGTTTGAAGTAATCACTTGCTCACTACTTACCGATGCACAAAAATATTAAAAGAGCAACACTACTGAGAGTTGTTAGTAGTTGATGTTCACTTGTAGGTCCTCCTCTAGCTGCAATTCCAAGAAGTGGTTTGCCTAAGTGGTCTAACGATCCTATACTTAGTACAATCTGGACAGCTCCAATAAGAAGAATATATTCGTGAGTAAAATCAGCAATCACTGAAAAAAATATAAAAAATGTCAGAAAAACTTTCTGTAATTGAATATTATTGATAATAATTTTGCCTAAATTTGTTTTTAGGGCGAAACCTGTCGCATATTTTAATCGCGTCTTAAGTGTATACTTACATTGTTTCTTTTACACAATTAAAGTTGTGGCTAAAAGCCTTTTTTAGTTTTGTAAAGTCTTAATGTCTAATTCAATAGTGTAAAGAAGCCAAATTAAGGTTATTAATTTGAATCCCTTCAAGAAAAATACCAGAATATTTGATCTCCATTCACACGAACCCATTAGAGAATTATCTAATGAATTAGCTTAAAATAAACAAAAAATCTTTCTTTTCAGACTCGATATTCTAAGTTATGGGCTTAACAAAAACACCTGCATCATAATCGGCCTCCAAGAACGTGGGAACACGTGTGAAAGCTTGAGGGCGTAAGAGGGCGACAAGTTGGACTTTGTAGATACTCACCAAAATATATAAAAGGGAAAAGCGAGTATCGCAAATTAATTATTAGTAGTCAACTAGATTCTAAATGGTCATCAGATCCGCTGTCTGATAGCCAATCGCTATCTTGCTATAGTAATTACTAATATTATCAATTAATTAATATTATTATTATTATGTATAATAATATTAATAATAGTAGTGATTATAGTGTCCAGGCTAGCCCGAACCAGTCCGAAAGCTCAGACGCATAGACATGAACTGTAATTTTTGATTTGTTTCCTTTTACTTTACTTGGTGCTCCATATTTTATTTTTGTTACTGAAGTAGGTATGTACAAAAAAATTTTACATTTAATTTTTGACATTTGATCTTTTTTATGTCTATTTAATGTTACCGATGATCTTTTATATGTTTTTTCATTATTATTCAGTAAAGGTACAACAATAAAAGCCACGAATAACGTTAAATATTCAGGATACAGCTTCTTTGTTACCTCTTCCAATAATAGCCTGCAGCACAAAAATATGGAAAATTATTTTTCCAACAGAAATATAGAGGATCAAAGTGCAAAATTTAAACCTCCGAAATTCCGAATTTTTTATAGATATAATTTTTTAACATTTTTTCCATGTTCCTGGCATCTTATCTTACTTGTCATTTTTCTCTGTTGCGCGAGTTCTGAAACAACATGTATAAACTTTATCCGTTCTGTCAGCTGGGACCCTTTCCCCCGCTCGGACCAATTTAAAGGTGAATTTAAAAGAAACCAAAAATCCGCCACAAAATCACAAAGGACTGATTTCTATGACTATTTTTTAAAAACAATTAATTAAAATAAAAATAAAGAGAAAATTTTAATGTCTGCTATTTTAAGCAACTATTTTAGGAGAAGCAAAAGTTCTGAACTGGATCTATACTTTTGGTACTTACATACTTAATTGATACTTTGCTCTGTATTTTTTAGTTTAGTAGTATTTAAATAGTTATTAGTGTTATTACCGACAAACTTCTCTGCTTTAAAGAATCACTTCACAGTTTGCACTATCTGACTTTATACAATAAAGTAAGTCGTTTATGTTTAGAAGAAAGTGATTTATTCAAAAGAACTACAATAATAATGTGGCAAAAATTAAGATAAGAGGAAAAAGGTCACATGTCCATAATTATTCAACGTTTATTTTATATTTATATAAAAATCACACGAGAGCTTGACAAATAAAAGCATTATAATGTCAAAGGCTTAAGATATAAAAGGAAAAAGGTTATCATAGTTAGCACATTTTGTATCATGTTTTGAAATAAATTAAGTTACATTGTTGAAGGCGAATTTTGAGTCTATTAAAGTCTTTGTGTTGTCTTTTACTACAGTTTAGCAAGTTTCCGTTTCTTGTGTTCTTTCGACCTATTACGAAAACAAGCTTATTGCTTGCATTAATTTATTACTCCTATTATCTAACCTAGCGAAAGAAGAAAAAAAAAAATTTGGCAAACAATTATTCAAGTCATGATTTTCTGACAAATAATTTCCACAAGCTTTGCACTCCACTGACCCGGCGGTTATTTGGATCTGCAGTCAGGCAAGATTCACATTATGGATATTGCTATCAATTAATGATGTTGATGAATTATTTGAAATGAGATTAATGTAAAAAAAAACCTCCTAAATACTTCAATCTAGCATCACTACAGATCTTTCGCCTCGCAATTTAATGAATTAAGTATTATTAATTAATGTTTACTTCCTGAGAAGTAAATAAAACAGTAATGTCCAAAACTAAAGACTCTATAATTTTTGGACTTCACTGTTTTATTTAGTTAAATAAGTTCATAAGATTGATACTTACTATAATAACCCACTGATCCAATCCAGTAAAATACCCATAAACAAATTGCTCTCCTCTTCTTATCTATAGGGATCCAGTAAGCGATGCACAAAAATATTAGGTTTACTAAAGACAATGAGCCCACTAAACCAGTCATATGCCTGATGTTGACAGAATCCGCTTGAACATATAAATAACTTGGAAATAGAGCATAGAAAACAAAAGTCGAGTACGTATTAGCTATCATCATCAACAGAGATTTATAAAAAGTTGGTTCTTTCAACACGTCTAAATGTTTCTTAAAGTGACCAGTTTCCACATTGTTTGGCATGAAGACGTTAGGACTAGTCTCTTCTGCCACGATTTCGTCGTCGAAGGCATACGTGTTGTTATTATTTATGGGAAAATCAGAAAACAGTGGTGATGGTTTTTTATTAGTTGGATAGGCATTTGTTTCTTCGGCCAGAGAGAGATTATTGACAATTCGAGGTGAAGACTGATCATCTTCAAAACGTTCCCAGTTTTGCCTTTGCTCAATGATGTTTTTATCATCCTCATCGTCAAAGACTTCCCACTCGTTCAGTTTATCATATTTGATATCGTTAATACCATCATCGTCGAATTTTTCCCATTTCTTCTTGTTTTCTTCAACTTCATCATCACTTGTCAATGTAAACTCTTTGTTGCTAGTGCTGGGCTGAGACTGATCAAGTGGTATTTTTTTCACGTGAGTTTCGGTGCTTGTTTGACGTCTTATTTGTAATTCTCGAGAGTTTTTTGATAAAATGTCCTCTTCGTCGTCAGGATTTGACTGAAATGTACAAGTTAATAAAAAGTTGCTGCAGCTTTTTTCTAACAGAAAACTTACCACAATAAACTGATATGGTTTGTTGCGGATTTTGGATTTTAGGTATAAAGGTTTTTTGAAAAATAGGGCAACAACTAAGCCTTGGAGAATTATTGCTTGATACCACAACAAAACTTGAGTGACATTTGTGTTGAGGATGTGATGACCGAGAGCCAACGGTGCCACCAAAAAGCCCAAAATCATAACAAACTGGGATATTTGATTCAAAACGGGGAGTTTCATGCGGAAATATTGAGCTAAGAGAATTTCGCATTGGACCATTAGGAGAGATGCACCAAGGCCTGCAAAAGAATAAATAAACCTAATATTTCAATCATAACAAAACAAGAAAGAAAACAATTTTAAAATGTTCTAAAACATGTTTTTATTTATACATGATTTTATTTATCATTTTTTTATCTAACAATTTTTACAATCATTGTAAAGTATAAGTAAACCAAAAATTCTAATTAGATTCTATTGTTTATGTCGAGTTCTCGAATTTTTGTTTTTCCAAATGTTGAACAAAAACACGATTAGCCCGTCACACCAAACTTTTATTTTAATAGCACAACGCGTTTCGACCACAAAGTGGTCATCCTCAGGTGAGAATAAAACTAACTAATTTAACAATGGTAATGCCTTATATTCCAAATGTGTTGAAAATTTTGCAGTTTACACAAGGCCGTTTTATGGGCAACTCAAATTCAAGTCCGAACCAGTTCTGGAAGTTCCGGGAAATGAATGGCTAATTAAATATTGGTTCGAGAAATAATCACACTAGCCTTATACCTTATGGTAACTTATAAGTAGGTACTGATATAAATTCTTAGAATTGTAAATGAGGGATGCTTGAGACTTTGGGAGGTCTGAACGCCTACTTGTGAATCCTTATGTGCGAAATTATGGGAAGCAGATGTAAGGGATGAATGACGAGTGGTTAGGCTTGTTTTAGTTGTAGTGAGGACTCTGGTTTTGAGACTTTCAATCGAGAAGCTGTTGTAATAAAGATTTTATAGAAATTATAGAAGAAAAAAAAACTTGATCTAATAATATTATACATAGCAGTACCTATAATTAATTAACTTTAAGAAACAAAATTTGAACCAATAATATATCTATGACCATTAAAAAATTTTGCTGTGTAGACGTCTGCGTCTATTTGAATTTAATTTTAATTATCGAAAGCTAAAACACTGTTAAAACGAATTTCATGCAGTACGGTTAATTTGTTAATCCAAAAGTGTGTGATACACCAACCCAAACTTCGTGATAATAATCTTCGTCCTACAATCTCAACTTTTTGATAAAATAAGCAATTTTCTTTTTTACTCTTTATTCATTCAATTATTAAAAGTTATGTAAATATCGTTTCATAGGGATAATTTGATTACAGTGATAACACTGATAACAAATATGTAATTAGAATCAGATTACTGTTGTGAAGAAAATAATTTCTGCTGATATTTATAGCAATATTTTTGCTTTATTCAATTCATCTTAACTGCTCTCAGTTTTTAATTACAAGTATTTGTATTAAAATGCCGTAGGGCTCAATTACGATTAATTAATTAGGTAATGAAAGAAATGTATTTCTATACAGGGTGTTAAAAAATACAGGGTTATTCATAAATATGAAGTAATATTTGAACCTCAAAAATGACCTATAAAATGATGTTAATAGTAATAGTATATTAAAAAAAACAAGTGTCGCAATGAGAGGATTTTTATTTTATTTTTTCTTATTGTTTATTGTTTCTAATACTCTGTTAGAAATAAAGAAAAACAAAAATAAAAACAACCACGTTGGCGGAATGTTTAAAGGGTTAAAACTTATTTTGTGAAATAAATTATAAAAGTACATTAGGCACTTTTGCCTTATTACAATAATTGTTGTTGATTCGTTGATTGTCCAAGGTGGAATCTTAAAATCAAATAAAGAAAATTTCAAACCTGTGAGCATTCCCGCCGGAGCAAACAACCAATCCTCGTTTTTCCCGGTTACCCCCATCCACATGAACAACAATCCGGCACAAGTTAGGCAAGTTCCAACAACTGCGATCAGTCGAGGTGTAGAAGAGCTGGTGGAGATATTGCGTGCCACAGAATCTAAAAATGTGAGTATAAAATGCAATCTTATTTTCTTTTTCTTATTTTTGTAATAATTGTTGGATAAAATTTATTAATAATAATTTATTACATTTAATTATGTTTACATTGTTCTTTTGCAAGGGCAACAAGTTTATTCATGTTTATGTGAATTTAAAACCCGAGAACGTTTGGTCAGCTTCTTGCATAATTTTCGATATTTGACCGGTTTTAAAAACGTTTTTAAGATGATTATTTTTGTAATTATCCAATACAAATAATTCTTTTGCAAAATACAGTTGGAGACAAAATACTTTGGTCGTCAATGTCACTTGAGTGACATTAAATTGTAAAGCATGCTTTAGGACTGTTAACTTTATTTTTAGCTACTGTCAATCATAGTTGACAAGTTGTACATATTTTTGATAGAAAAATATAATAGCTGTCATCAATTTGAAATTGTCATTTATTTTAACGTTAAAGCTTGAATTACATTAAAATGTCAGAAAAGTGACGATCAAAGTATTTTGTCTCCAACTGTACTTTGAGAGAATTCTTTTGTTGACATGCAATTTTTTAGTTTGCAAAAACGTACCTAAAAAAATGAGTTTTAAATACTGGTATTTACTCCGCTCTGAGCAATAGTAAAATAGGGTGGTTAAAGTTTTAACACTCTTATATCATAATATGACCACTGAGTTGCACTCTTTAGTTAACTCGAACTGACATTATTATATTAAAATAGCAAAATAATAATCAAAATACCAGCCTGTTGTATAAAAATTCGACCACTTTTGAAAATTTTATTTCAGTATATACCTAAATGAGGGTTTAATCTTATAACACAAATAATTCTATTATAAATAACCATACATTTGTTACACAACTTAATTTTAACAGTGCGGAATTTTTGGAACCATTTAAACTTTCTGTTTTTTGTAGAAAACAAATCACAATTTTCATTTTGTCTTGGATCAAAAAAAGAATCCAGTGTGTTTCGGTCTTCGGTGTTTTACGCAGTGGTTTTACTGTTCTTAATTTTCATTTCTCAGAAGTGCATCAAAGCGTTTTTTGCCTTCTTCATTCTCAGTTCAAGTATATCAATACCAGGAACGGCGTCTTAGGCCCGTTAAAAAAAAGTAGTAGACATAACAAGTAAATAGGACAAATCGAAAAATCGTACAGCTACAAAATAATTAATTGTTTGAATTCGGCTTTATAATTATGACATTTGTCATAATGATTTGTCGAAAATGGATATTGTGAAGTGCTCGGTTATTGGTAGAGCTTGGTATTGCTCATCGCTGTAATATTAACAAAAATTTCGTTAGAAAAATTGAAAATACATAATTGTATTAACTAAATAGAATTATTCAGTTTTAAGTTGCAAAATTATTTACTTGCATTCTAGCTACAACACTTTTGTAAATTCTTCTATTTGTTTATGTCCACTGCTATACATACAACCCCAAAGCAAAATTCTTAAATTGTCAATTCTCCAGTTTTTACTTCTTGCTATGATTATACTAGTTTTCATAAATTTGCATCGAAGTAGTCGTTGAGGGATCATTTTAAGGTGGCAGTCATGCAAAAATTCAAACAATCCTAACCTCAAATTTCCCTACAAATTATTTTTTCAAATAAATGTGTGTCACAAGTAGCAAAAAATAATTAAAATTAACAACGTAATGAAGATAGGATAGCAAACGAAAGATTTTTGTCATTATTAATGTGCTTAAATTTGTTCTGAATGACATATTAATGACACTTTTTGTGTAAATCAGCCTTTAAGTTAAAGATTCATTTAGACTACGACAACCTACAGTTGGAGACAAAATACTTTGGTCGTCAATGTCACTTGAGTGACATTAAATTGTAAAGCATGCTTTAGGACTGTTAACCTTATTTTTAGCTAATGTCAACCGTATGTACATATTTTTGATAGGAAAATATAATAGCTGTCATTAATTTGAAACTATCATTCATTCTAACGTTAAAGCTTGAATTACATTAAAGTGTCAGAAAAGTGACGACCAAAGTATTTTGTCTCCAACTGTACTTCATGCACATTAAAAAAAGAAAAGAATAAAGAAAAAGAATATACTACTAATAGTAATCATTCATTGTTAATGACAATCATTACGGTGTTTGCATAATAGAATATTATAGGTGATCGTATACAGAGTTATTCATAAATATGAAGCAATATTTGAAAAAAATGACCTATGAAATGATGTTAATTTAAATAATAACTCGTGTCCTATCTCCACTGATAAGAAATTTACAGCCCTCGGAATGTGGGTATGGAAATTTGATTTTTTTGTAATAACTTTGGAACTATTTGACCAAATATTATAAATAAAATTTGGAACATTTCCCTGTGACAACATACCCTTTAAACTGGTAATCACGAAAACCAGATACATCCACTCACTTTCGGCAACCAATGACCATGGTCACATAAATCCCTACCAGGCATCTGTTAACTTTGACGATAAATTTTTGTGATTTTTTTATGAATTAAATGCTAAAGTCTGGTTTTTTTTTAATGGAAATGCCAAACAGGCTTAACGTTGGCATCACTAGTAAATTCATTCATGGTAATTTTAATAAAGGAAGTTGGCAGTTCCGGTTTTTTGAATTAATTTGAAAACAATGTCATTAAACGTCAACACAAAAAATCGTCAAGAAAATTTAGAGACGAAACACCAAAAAAGGAACAAATTCGGTACCGCTAACAGTTTTTAGAAATTTGGAAACTAATAGTTCGCAAGCAGAAAGTTAGAAAAAGGGCCCGTTAAAATGTAGACGCAATTTGTAATGCAGGTTTGCTAAACATTCTCAATTTTTAGCAAGAAATTGACAAAAATACAAAATAAACATGGATGAGAAAGAACGCAATTAAATTAGTGTATTGTGCATCGTTTTTGAGGAAGGAGTTGAAAAAGTAACAATTTTGAAACTAAAGCTGGAGAAGAATTTATAAAATGCATCAACTTTGAGCTCATTTCAATAAATTACACAAAATTTATTGCCAATCATCATAATACCTACTTGTACTTTTGCTAAATAGCTTTTTTCTGTATATACATCCTTTTTCTTCAAAGTTTTTGTAGCAAGAACCTTTTTTTTGTCCACAACATTGTACTTACTTACTGTGTGTTTCTATCAAAATTGTTAGCACTGAATTCGGTCTTTAGACCTTAGGTAATGATGTCTGTTTTCAGGTATCCAATTATAGCGCTTTCAAAGAGCAAACAGGCACACAAGATTCATAAAAGTCAAAATTTTGACAACATTTCAATTTGAACACATAACCTTAATTTTTTAATAAAATTTCTAGGGAAATAAACAAAGAGCAAACAAAATTTGTGGCTATGGAGCTGCTACCAATTTTTTCACCAAAATTTTGACTTGGTAGTTTCCATTAAAAAAAAAAAACAGACTTTACGTGATCCATCCAATGTCAAAGTTGACAGATGGTCATTTGTTACCGTGGATATCATCCATTCAAAATCCCAACTTTTTGGTTTCAGCGTTGTGCAGTCTTCAGTTTAAATTAAAATATCTTGGAAACGGTCCATTTTAGGGGTATTAAAGGTTATGCGTTTTTTATTCGAAATTTACTTCATGGATTTTGGCAATAAAGAATAAAGCAAAAAAATGGAAAAACACAGAAAATGTTTACCAGTTTAAAGGGTATGTTGTCACAGGGAAATGTTCCAAATTTTATAATAGTTGTCAAATAGTTCCAAAGTTATTACAAAAAAATCAAATTTCCATGCCCATATTCCGAGGGCTGTAAAATTCTTATCAGTAGAGATAGGACATGAGTTACTATTTAAATTAACATCATTTTATAGGTCATTTTTGAGGTTCAAATATTGCTTCATATTTATGAATAACCCTGTAGAACTGATCTTACAGACATTTTTGAAAATAGCTCAAATTTTAGCAATTTCTGTGGGATACTGGCAACAGGTCAAGGACCATTTGCAGAATTTTTTGTTTCAAGGTTACTTTGGCTACACGCGATAAATATTATTTTCTTTGAAGAAGCATTAATTAATTTAATCAATAATAATATGAACAAGATGTGTATATGTTCAAGAAAGTTAAAAATATTGATAGATAATGGTCTTTTTATAATAATGAAATTATGTTTAAGTTTATAAATAATAATCTAATAAGCATAACAAAGGGTTGCGGCTAAAGTCTATTGTTTTAACCTTATATTTATTATATGATTGTTTTTTTATTTTCGTTTTAATTTTGATTTCGTACAACAAAAAGTCGATGTATTGTATCACATTTTAAAGGCACTGTTAATATTTGCTATGGGAGGTGGGGATGCTGGGGATTTTTTATTGGGGAGAGAAGGTGGGAGTTGAAGTTGTTATTTGTTGTTATGGAGGGGTTGAAAGTTAAACCCATGTTTTACGTTTTTAGTCGTGGTTAGTATTCAACTTCGTGTCGGTACACATAGTCAGTCAGTGGTGTTAGTGGTCATTTGTGCACATTCAGCGCTTACCTATCCATTTTCTTATCATTGTGAAAACTGCTTAGGTAGGAAGTGGTATAACGGTTAAGTTACTTTAAATTGAAGGGGTTATTGTAAAAACGTGACAAGCCACACATCTTTTTAAAATGAGATTTTTACTCGTTGTAAAAAGATTTGTGGAAGTTACTGTCTGAGTTACTGCACTAGGACCTAGGAGTTATTATATCAAAATATAAATTTTTCAGTCTATTTTTCAATAATTTGATTATTTGGCTTATCACATTTTTACAATAAACCCCCTTCAATTTATGTTAATGGGATAATAATAATTTCTCGACTCTAGCTTACATGTTTCGAAAGGCTTGAAAAATAACATGCAGGCCTTTGTGCTTCTAAATACGTTCATTACGGTGTATGTTCCTAAAATTCCTAAAGTGAAATTCATTTTGAAAAACTGGTTATCCAGAGTATGAAGCAAGTAGGTTAAAAAATAGGTGTATGCTGTACAATCAAATAGGTAAAATCGCCTGTCGATCTTTGAAACGTTTGTTGTTTTGCCATAAGGTTGCATGTGTTACAAAATAAAAGGCAAGTGAATTTTATTTTGAATTTATCATTACTTTTTAATGAACTCTTACAAATTTGTGAGTCAAGTCCCAGTTCTTGAGTTTTAGGGGACAATGAAACTCAAGGTTGAATAATGTGTTTAAAATATATAACGTGAATAGAGGGGCATATTTCATTTGAAAGATCCTAGTTTCTCAAAGGGACAGGGGTTATATGCTTGGTATAATATACTTCGTTATTTACTTATCTATCTACAAAGCAGATGCACACACAGCTACACCAGTATTTATTGAGGAATTTAACAAATAAGCAGATGTTCTATCATCTGATTAGCAAAGAATTATTTATTTTATTTGTGATAATTCATAAAGACAGTGAACTAAGTTGCCAATTTATTTATTTATTTATTTATTTATTTTATGTTTATTGTAAATTACCAGGTCAATTAATTTTTAAAGGTAATTCCTATTTTTCAGTTAAACGTGCTTTTTTTATGTAACCAATTCAGGCGAAATGTGAGATGTATATTGACCTTGAATTTTGTTACATTGTATAAATATTTGAAACCAGAAATAGGTGTTGCTCTTACCGAAAAAGCTCCGTGCGATGCAAAAGAAAAGTGGTACATAGAGAATTTTTTCACTCCAAAGAGACATATTTTTATCTTCGAATGTGCCATTTTCTAATTTGCAGAAAGCCAGAAAAATTCCAAAATTGACGAGAAGACAGGGAATTAAGGCCTGTAAAATGATTGAGTAATAATAATTTCGTAAACGATGAGTCAAATCTCTTATCTCAAATGAGTGTTTGCTTCTCCATTTTGTTGTACTTTATATGAATTTTACTCACTTGGAAAAACAATGTCCCAATAAAGACAACCCATCCAAAACCTCCATCGGGTATGCTTGGCCCCAATTCAGGTTGCGTCGCGAGCACTTCGTCCAAAGTCAATGTGTTTTCGACTTGACGATTTGAACGCGGTTCATTTTCTTCAGTCATTGTTTATATTTTAAGATCACATTTATTAACGTAGGTAAAAATATTTTGTTACCAACAGGTGCATTACGAACCAGAGATGTGCTTTTACTCCGAATACACCTACACGAGTTAACTTGTTATCTTATCGAACCAAATGCCTATTTTACAGATACGTGATAACATGGTGTGTTTAGGGAGTAAACATTGGGGATAATTCTGGTGTCAACATTTTTTTATTAAGTTTTGCAAATTAATTATGCTAGAATTAATTTTCGTTCTCTTTCACCATTTAAATTATCATAATACTATTTCTTATGGTAGGTAAGAGAAAAACCGGAAAATATAGGAATATATTAATATTCATGTCTGTGTAATGTTCATGGTGTTGTTTAAAAATTATAGGTTTGAACCACGATGTGTTTGAACACATTTCTTCAATATTTCAACACAAAGCCATTTTGGATTCAAATTTGGCGCTTTTTATTTTCGTTAGCTTTTGCGGTGGCGCTGCTATCACAGCAGCATTGTTGTTTTTGTTTACTTGAAAGTAGGTAAAGCTGGGTGTTCAGCTCGTCTACCATCAACACCAGAGCTAAATGTATGTATCCGATTTTACAATTGTAACTAGTTTAATAACTAATTAGTCAAAATTTCGTCGTTGCGGATTCAAATTCGTATAATTACAAGATGGCGTTTCATTAAAAGTTTTTCAAAACTCAGTTTTTGTGTGTTGAATTTTCAGAAATGGAAGCCCGTGGGAAAGGGAGAGGCTTTGGCCGAGCACGCGGTCAAGCCGCCGCTGGACAACAGCAGCAGGGCCAGCAACAACGTCCTGGAAGAAGACCTGGCGGCGATCAAGGTCAAGCTGCACCACGTGGTCCGCCACAAAGCGCTTGGGTACGACCGGCTCAACCGGCGGCATCGGCATGGCCACGGCCCCAGATGGGGGGTGCTCCACAGCAACAACAGCCCCAACAAGTTGCAGGACGAGGAGAAAGACAAGAATTTGACCTTGGAGTTACTCCTCGAAGGGGTATGTATTTAGCATCGCCGTCTTGATAGAAACAATCCTTTTCTCGCCTGGGCATTTTTTGAGTTTAACTGATTCCTGTTGGCGCTTTAATCTGGGGAAATTTTTTGACACATCCAGTTTTTTTACCTTAAAGAGTTCAACCTCATAAGTCATAACACAAGGCAACAAAATTATATATCATTTTGTTCGTCTCAGTGAGACATATCAAATACACTAAAAAAAATATTATAAAGTCCACACACTGGACTAAATTATTTTTTTCTAATTTAAAAAGAATTTAAAATACTTTAACTTTAAACAATCATTATTCAATAACTATATCTGAAGAGAAATTCCCTGGTGATTTAACTAATAATTTTAGTTGTTTTTTATACATCCTTTTTGTTTCTCATATATCATATAATTTTTTTCTTCACAGTGATTATCTTATAAATTGTCATTATCTTATAAATTGTTGAAAGACAAGTAATGAGTATACTTAGATGGATTTTTAGTATCCGAATTTTTGGTTTTAAATAAGTATTCTATGAGTTAAAAGTTCTGGAAAATGGGGATTTATAATAAAATTATTAAAATGCCACAAAAGTAGTGAATGATGAACACAAGTAAACTTTTTTAACAAAACATGAATTTTGACAATTTTAGGAGCTTTCCAGTTATGTGATTCGTTTATAATTTTCATTAAAATTTCTCTCGTAATCTGGAAAGACATGTCATTTTTTGTCGAAATTTCTGAGTTGATAAGTTTCAACCAAGGTGAAATGTTATTTTTTTTTTTTTTCAGAACAAATGGTTTTCCAACCATACCAGAGGTAATCTCTATTATTAAAATGTTTTACTATATGCATAATCTTTTAAGATACTGTGAGTACAATACTTTAATTACGGTAGTGTGATCATTGCATCATGCAATGCATTGTTTTGTTGACAAAAGTATTTTTTTACATTTGTTGGGTGGGTGTTTCACCACCACCAAGATATTTGAAGGAATTTATTCAGGAACTTTACCTAACTAATGTTGTTCGTATTACTTTTAAAAAGTTTTTTTTATTCTTGATATCTTGATTTTACGTTTTTAAATTTATTTATGAAACTTAATTAATAGTAAATGTTTTACTAACATGATTTTAAATGTTTATAAAATAATCTTATTTGAAAAATGTTTGTTTCGAAATCGTTACGGTATAGTTGTAAGGCCCTTTCTGACGTTTCGTAATACTTAAGATGAGCATTTTATACTTCGTAGTTGTTGCGGGCGAAGGAGATCAAGGAAATCAAGATGGTGCCCAACCCGCCACTAGAGGTGGAGCTAGCAGCGTTCGTGGAAGAGTTGTGAGAAAGGAAATTATTTTTACTAGACCCCAAACGTTGGTATCTAAGAAGGGTAAATTACTGTTATTTTATATGTACTTTTTATTTAAAATTATTTTTTCAAATTATAGGTAACATCGGAACTCCTATCAATTTGTTGGCCAACTACCTTCCGTTGATAAAACAGGGGAAATGGTGTTTGTATCAATATCGTGTTGATATGGCCCCCGATGTTGATAATACTTCAAAGAGGAAGGGTCTAGTACGCACTGCCACTAGAGAACTTCTTAAAGGAGGGTATTTGTTTGATGGGACTGTGTTGTATACAACGCAAAGAATAAATAATGATTCCATTGATTTATTTGTTGACGATAGTAAGTTGCAACAATTTTTTTATTACTTTTTATTACAAATTCGAATTTGTAGATGGTGAGAACATCAGAATTACCATTCGGCTAGTTGGGGACGTGGCATGGGGTGATATGCACTACATTCAGTTGTTTAATATTATAATAAGAAAATGTTTGGCTTTGATGGGGCTGCAACAGGTGGGGCGAAACTACTTCATGCCCGATAATAAGGTATTCTTTGTTTTGAAGTTCGAAAAATAAAATTTAATTTTGATACAATGTTTAGATAGTTATACAAGAACATAAAATTCAATTGTGGCCTGGATACTTTACGTCGATGCGACAACATGAAAAAGATATCCTACTAAATGTTGACCTTCAATTTAAATTTATGCGAACTGATACGGTTTACGACATACTACTTGAATGCCAAGGTGCCAATGCCAGGAAAGAGTTTCAGTCAAAGATAATTGGGAGTGTTGTTTTAACTCACTATAACAACAAAACTTATAAGATTGATGACGTGGATTTCAATACCACCCCTGCAAATACATTCAGATTATCTGATGGCACTGAAGTCAGCTACAGAGATTACTGTAAAAAGAAGTATAACGTTGATATCCGCGTTAGGGATCAGCCCATGCTAATCTCTAGAAGCAAACCCAGGGAAATCCGAGCCGGAATGCCAGAAACTGTCTATTTGGTTCCAGAGTTGTGTCGCATGACCGGATTAACTGACAAACAACGAGACAATTTCAATCTTATGAGAATGCTGGCGACTCATACTAGAATAGGTGTAGAAGGTCGCATTAAAAAGCTGATGGAATTTTCACAAAAACTTCACAGCAAGCGAGAAGTCGTTGAAGAAATTCGCAGATGGGATCTGGATGTTGCGAATAGTCTTGTTAAGTTCCAGGGTCGTGTGTTGCCCCAAGAACAAGTGATTGGTGGTAATGATGCACGATATCCTGCTGGACCTCAAGCTGACTGGACCAAAGAATTAAGGAGCAAACCAATGCTTCATATGCCTAAAATGGAGCGTTTGGCTGTGGTGTGCACTGGTCGTAACAAGTAATTGTTTTTCGGTCTTATAGTTGAGCAGGTTTTATTTTATTATTTGCAGGAGTGCTACACAAGATTTCGTTCAGCTATTGTGTAAGACTGCTGGCGGAATGAGATGGTCCCTCGGAAATCCGAGGATATTTGACATACAAGATGATCGTTCAGGAACATACATTGAAACCATCGAGAAAATAGCAAACATGAATCAACCAACACTCATTCTGGTTATTCTCCCTAATAATTCTGCAGAACGTTATTCTGCAATTAAAAAAAAGTGCTGTGTTGATAGAGGCATTCCTACGCAGATGTTTGTAGCAAGGAATCTAACTACTAAAGGAGTCATGTCGATCGCGACAAAAGTAGCAATTCAAATGAATTGCAAGATCGGTGGTGCCCCTTGGTGTGTACCTATACCTCTTCAAAGTTTGATGATCGTTGGCTATGACGTTTGCCGCGATACTGTAAATAAAAAGAAGAGCTTTGCGGGAATAGTGGCGTCTCTTGATAAGAACATCTCCCGTTATTATAACATCTGTTGCGAACATAAGATGGAGGAAGAACTGTCTGGCAATTTTGCCTCTGCGCTTGTTATACTTTGCAAACGTTGGAAGGATCATAACGGTCACTACCCGGAGAGAATTTTAATTTATCGTGATGGTGTCGGCGAGGGCCAATTGCCGTTCGTGATAGAACATGAAGTAGTCAACATTAAAAGAAAATTGCAACAAGAGATCTATAAAGATGGTGCATTAAAAATGGCTTTTGTTGTCGTTTCAAAAAGGATTAATACGAGAATATTTACTGAGAGAGATAATCCTCCACCAGGAACAGTTGTGGACGATGTCATCACTTTACCTGAGAGGTAAAAAATTTCTTTTCATATCATGAGTGTATGTATAATAATCTAATTATTTTAGGTACGATTTCTACATCGTGTCTCAATGTGTACGCCAGGGCACTGTAGCACCAACCAGCTACAATGTAATTGAAGATAGTATGGGGTTACCCCCAGAGAAACTTCAGTATTTGACATATAAACTGACTCATATGTATTACAATTGGTCTGGAACAGTTCGCGTCCCAGCTCCATGCCAATATGCCCACAAGTTGGCATTTATGGTGTCGCAGTACATACACAGACCTGCGCATCCGGATCTTGAGAACATTTTGTATTACCTCTAATTTTTATATTTTAATTTGTTCATTTTTTTGAAGAGATTTTTTTTTGACGAGGCAAATGTAATTTTGCTGTCACATTCCTAAGTATGTTTTAAGGTAGAGTATAGTTTGTGTTAGAGTTTGTTTTGCGTTTTTCCTTTCTTTTTTATATAAATTGCATAACTTCGTTACACTTGTTCATGTTACGTTATTTTTTACAATGCGATCTTTGTTATATTTTTATATGTGACGAGAGAATAAAAGTTTCTACAAAAAGATACATTTGTTTTAATCTAGTTTCCATTCTAGTAATTTAAGGAAGTCAGACTCTGCAAGTTCCAACACTTTACAAGATTCCACGTGATCCTGAAATTTAGGAAATAAAATTTGTATTAATGTGTGGCTCACAACCTTTTGTTTTTTGAGATTGTTGATAAGTTGGATCTGCTTTTTGTATCCTTGCAATAATTCATTTTTATGCTTCTGGATCTGTTTTACTGTAGCGGTGAGTTCCTTTATGTTGTTTCTAAATGCTTCTTTAGTCTCCTAAAATACATTTTTATTTAGTTTCTAAAACTGAAAACCTTACTTTTTCTTCTTGTCTTAAAGTGTTCATCGCAGTTCTATTCTTCTCAAGTTCCTGCATTGTGCGCTTTAGACGATTTTCACAAACGCTTAACTCACTAGATATATTTTTCAAATCATTTCTTAGTTGCTCATTTTCTTTTTTTAATGCAACATTTTCAGTTTCTTTCAGCTGTAGCTTCGAGTTGTAAGCTGAAATCTGACTGCAAAATATTAATCACATTTTCTGATTTTATTGTTACTTGTTTTTCCTGTTTGACGTTAGCATTTTTCTGAACATTGTATTGCAAAAACCATTTTTCTTTCTCCTCAGCGACAGCTTGATGTTCTCGTTGAAATTTTTTTAGTTCTTCATTCTAAATTTCTAAAATTGGTTTAAACAAATCAAAACTTCTGTACGCACCTTGATTTTGAGTTCATTTTGGGTCTTTATAAGGTCCTCCTGAAGCGCTTTAATTTTTGTCTTGTAGAAATGGATCATTCCTTTTGTTCCCATCTCCTCTACACTTTTAGGCAAGTGTAGTTCTCTGGGTTCTATTGGTTTTGTATCTTCAAGTTTGAAGTCCCTCATGTTGTGAACGATATCGTCCACTTTTTGCAGAATTTCTTTCGTTTTCATTTCTAATTGTTTATTTTGTTTTCTTAATTCCTCTTCTTTTCTTAAAAAGTCGTGTTCCATGTTGAAAGTAGTGGTAACAATGAGATTTTCAAACAAAAGTCGTCACCCTGACAACAGGAGTTAAATACAAACAAAAGCAGCCATTACAAATCAACGTTTATTATTAAAATTTAAATTGAATGAAAAGAACATAATTAAGGATGCACAATATATTCAACATAGTAATCAGATGATCTTTTTACACTTGTTTCGCTACTTAGTGGATCGGTCACTAAGGCTTTAACAACAACAATGATGTTACTTGAATCATAATAATTCAATTTTTTATGAAGGGTTAGACTTTGTCCAAGCCCACAACGTCTTTGGTCCAAATTATACTCAGCGACTTTTTGGGCGTATAAACTGCTCACTTGGACAAATCTGCGAACCTACAAATTTAAATTGTGAATAAAAATTACAAAAGACAAAACAATTTTTACTCTATACAAAGTAGTGGATTCCGTTTTCAATAATTGTTGTTCGCGAATTAGGAATTGCCCAAACGCATAAATATCCTGCACCCGTTGGATCCTATTGTTTCCAATACTCACGGTCTGTAGGGCTTCATTTACGTCGTTTAATACATTTTTGTATTCTTCTGAACACTGATTAAGGTCGATGCTGTTTGCTAAAGTTTGGTCCCAATTATGTGGTACGTATTGCCGAATTACGTTTAACATTTTTCAAACCACGACTTATCAGTCACACCCAAATCTGAAAACTTGTACTTCCCCCGTTGCGTTGAAACAGGGAATTATATTTTGGAACTAAAAGTGTGGCACCTGACAAGTACTACGCCTTATATTAATTATTTGTCCTGTTCAGGCTGAATTAGTTTGTACATTCACAGTAATAGTTTATTATAATATACCGTGCGATCAAAAAATAAATAAATTAGAGTTATTTAAAGTCTTTCAGATGGCAATCTTGCTTTTTGACATCAAATGTTAGCGGAAACTGAAAAGTTTGCGTTTTATTCCTTTTGAGTGAAATAATATTGTTCACTTAGCTGAAAATTTTTATTGCTGTACAAGACGAAAACGGTGAATGGTTATTTTCACTTTCAGTTTGTGGATAAAATTTCCAGGCCAGATTCCCAGCCAACTATAGAATTTAATCGACGCTTACTCTAATTTATTTATTTTTTGATCGCGCAGTACATGTTATGTCATTTTTTTGAAGGCATAAATTATTGAAAATGGTTTTTCATTGTGACTGTTTTCTAACGTTAAAATGTAGGTATGACCTATGTCATACTTTTTCCTATTGTGAACAGTTCTGTAAATAGATATCAGATTATTATATCTATTTATATTACGGTAATGTAATGTACGTAATAATGTAATCAAATACCTGTGAAAATGTGTGAAAAATAGACGAAATTTAAGCTATATGTGGAAAGGCATGGTCACCGTTATGATGAAATACACTGGCGGACACGGAATTTTGAACGATTTGTTATTCGACTGACATAAAAATGTATAACGGGCGTTAGGCAACTAACCCCGCTTTCGGTTTTTGTAATTTTTATCCTGATAGCTAGAGAAAAAATGACAACAAATAAAAATAATTTATTGACCTTATACCGGGTGTCCCAGGCAGGCTTGGGCATAGGAAATCATGGAAAATTAGTTTTTATTTTTTTTCGGCTGCAGGAGTAACAGAAATCAAAATCTGACTGATGGAGTTTGTAGTGCTTGAAGAGGGCTATCTTATCGATATTTTTGTCGATTCTCCAATTAACTCCATATGGGCGAAAACGACCGTCGAAAAATTGAAATTTGAATTTGCCGGGTTAGCGTTACTAAGAAACGAACTGTCAAGTCATTGTTGCCAAAGGAGAATTTGTCACAATTTGACTTGATAGTTCGTTTCTTAGTAACGCTAACCCGGCAAATTCAAATTTCAATTTTTCAAGAGCCGTTTTCGCCGAAATGGAGTTAATTGGAGAATCGACAAAAATATCGATAAGATTGTCCTTTTCGAGCACTACAAGCTCCATTAATCAGATTTTAATTTTTGTTACTCCTGCAGCCGGAAAAAAAAAACTAATTTCCCATGTTAATCTCCTATATCCAAGCCTGCCTGGGACACCCGGTATAAATTTATTTTCATACTCGTAACTACGAGTTTGTTAACTAACAAAACTACTAATTCTGCTGATCTTAATATAATTGATTTATTGTGTTAAACCAATTATACTCGTATATTGTCTTCCTTCTGGAAGCTGTAGAGAATGTTTAATTTTTTTGTGAAAAGCGAATATTTGAATTTTTAAATGCTCTAAAAATCAAATAAAATTGTTCTTGTAATATGAGGTCACACAGGAGATAATAGTATTCTTTGTAAAAGTTATGAACCACTTTTCTAGAAAAATTTATTTAAAAAAATAATCATAGAAAATGTTTGAGAATCTAAATAAATCTTAATTAAATCGACTAGAAAATTAATGCCCGCTTTCTCGAAATTCATAAAATTGGAATAAAATCAGGCCTCCCAATTTTCTAGAATGTAATCAGGAATTAACAACGACCTAAAATTGTGCGACATCGTCCCCACTATAACCTGAAAAAAAAAAACAAAAAAACTATAAAAAAAACAGTCTAAAACAGGAACTTACCAAATTTTTAAAAACTTCCATTGACAATATCACACCTCCTGCCCCTTCAATCATCCCTACATAATTATCGCTGACTACATTGTAAACATAAATATTCCCATTGTAGCAACTGGCAAAAAGCAAGTTTTTGACAATTTTCATACAACATATCCCCTTAGAATTCGTGGCTTGATGCCTATGCACCAAGTTTCCATTCTGCATAGAAAACATAAGTACATTTTAACCAACCCAAACCAGCACTCACATGAAAACCAAAAACTAAAATATCATGAGACATTGTTCCACAATAAACCAAACTATTTTCCAATAGTAAACTATACACAGTTGGTGTCACACATCCTGCCCATTCCCCTAAAGTCCTCAAATACAACCCCGACATCGCGTCCTTAACACACACCTGGGCGTTTCTCGAACCCACCAAAAGGACACGGCGAGCACCCTCTTGCGTTGCTTTTAACACAAGGACAGCTTCTTCTGAAATTGTGTCTTCAAATTCTATCAGTTTTCGCTGAAAAAAGAAGTTAATTTTTGATCAGTACTACTAAATCTGCCGTACCTTTAAAGAATAACGCTTCAGCCTGCCGTTGGTCGTACCAATGAAAATGTACTCCCATGCGTGTTCCATGCATTGTATACAGTCTGTAATGTTGGTAATGTTGACAAGTAATCTGGTGTTGCAATGATATTCGCGAAGATAACTTTCAAATGAACCTACAAATAAGTGAGATTGCTTTGAGGGGGTTTCCAAGTAACATAAACACGTAATCGGTGTGTGAGACACTTGAAGTGTGGCTTCGGTAGTCCCGGTGTGTATATTTATATAAAAAATTTTGCCGCTCTCCGATGCAGCCAGAAGCACCTCTTCAATTAACTGAAACGGTTTAGTTTTTATTATTTATATTGTTGCAAAACAATAGCTCAATAAACCAATACTATTGATTTTTTGTTGGAATATTACGAGAATAAAAACCATATTTTATCAAATATGTATATCAAAAGAAAATTTGTTGATTTCAAAACTTTGAACAATTACTTTGGTCGTGGTGGTTTGATAAAAATATTAATCAATTAAATATTAATTAAGAAATTGATTTTTACCTTCAGGACCAAAATTTTTTCTGAAAAAATTTCAAATTTCAGAGGTTCCTTATAAATAAAGTCGATTGTTTCATTCATGATTTGAGCTGCACTTTTATCTTGTAAATTCAATTTTCTTTTACACTTCGTGGTACCCTCTCTGGTTATTTTTTTAAATTTTCGTTTATTTACTATATTCTTCAACTGATTAACAGAAGACTTTTTGTGATTGCTTTTGCCTTGTAATTTAGTAAAAATTGTTTGTCTTAGTTTTGTTAGTCGCTCTATTTCTTTATCAATTTTAAACATTACTTTTACGGCATCTTTTAAGTTTTCAATGTTTTCTCTAACTTCAAATTCTTTACTGATACTTAAATTATTATCAGTTTGAGATGCGGAGGAATGGAATTCTACAAAATCAGTCTGTGATTCTGATGAAACTAATCGTTTTGTAAATACTGTTTGAGATTTAGTTTCACTAAACTCAGAATCATTTGTTTGTGAAATATATCCATATTGTATCTCATTTACAACTTCAAAAAAGTTAGCTTTGTCTACTACTGAATTTTCAATAATTTCGTCAGCATTATATTCTTTTTTAATTTTAATGACCTCATTCTCATTTTGTGCATGTTGTAAACTAAAGACAAACTCACTTCCAACACAATTAATTTCTTCTGAATTTTCAATAATTTCGTCAGAATTATATTCTTGTTTAATTTTAATGACCTCATTCTCATTTTGTGCTTGTTGTAAACTAAAGACGGACTCATTTTCAACACAATTAATTTCTTCCTTGATATTTTGTTCCCTTTCAGTTTGTTGAGTGCCATTTTCACAAACGTCAGTTCTGACGTTTATAGTGTCACAACTATTTTCCAAAAATGAAGAGTCATCAAAATTCAAGTCTAATGTGCTACTAAGTTCTTGAATCACCTCTAAAGGTAAGTCTTCGATTTTTATGCCAATATCAGGGATAATCGCATTTATAACCTCACTACTTTCCACTGCTTGACTGGTGCACATATCTCTTAGCACTTTTGATAACTCTAATCTCTTTTGCTTTTGGATCTGTTGAATGGCAATGTCATACCCTGATGAAGTGGAACAAATTAGGTTCATTTTCTTCCCATGATTCAAATTACTAATGTGGGTTATGATTTTATTGTGAATTTCTTCAACATTGTAATGTGTGACCTTCTTGGATTTAGCGACGCTTTTTTCCGACTCGTTTTTACTGAAATTTTTGTCGTTTTCAGTGGCTTTACATTCAGTAGTATCCTGTGGAGGTAGCTCCTTATTTTGCTCCACATTTACAATTTCCTCTGCTTCGGGTGGCATCATTAGCTGTTTTTTAATCATATCACTGGTTTCTTGTATTTTTTTCTGGGTGTATTCCTCAGTACCTGAGAAAGGTGATGGAGATCGTGAATTTTCTTCTCGAGGAGTTTGTCTTGGATTTGGCCTCGGAACAAAGGCCCCCCTTCTATGTGCATTATTCCAATGTGGTGGTGGATACCTATTAAAGCCCCTATAACTGCAAATAAAGTTGTAACAACACGTCAAGTAACTCAAAAAAAAAAACTTACAAATGGAACCGATCATAGGGCTTCTGACAGCGAATTCTTTTCTTTTGTTCTTTTGTAAGGCAGTGCCTTCGGTTTAAACCATATACATTATTAGCATTGTTGTTTTGATAATGATTTTTGGGATTGTTGTTTTGGTAATTATTTCTGGCCTGAGACATCGTTTTGGCCATAAAACGTACAAACACTATTGTAATACCTCTGAAATTTTATATTTTCGAAATAATATTTTTGTGGTTTTGTTTATAACCTAACCTAGATATTTGACATTTGACAGAAACAAAGCGAAACTAAAATCTAGGGTTTTTTAGTTTTGCACACTGGAGATCACCAAACGATCTGGTAGTGGCAATATTTGATGGGGTTCCCTTTTATTCCTTGCTGTGTCGCTGTGTCTTTGTATGGTCTTTGTGTAGCAGCCACAGGTAGCAGCTGTTACGTGGCAGTGACGTGTGGTTATACATAAAATTTCGTCTTTGTTCTGATTCTGATTATTCATTGTAATTTCTTCAGACAGTAACATTGCTGCAAGGTAAGTTGAATTATGTGGCTTGACGACTTACGATCTCTTTACAAGAGTACTTGACCCTAAATTTGTCAATGGCGTCTGATTATAACACGACATATTTTTTTATTAATCTTTATTTATAACCAAGGTACTAGATGCTGTCATAGGCAGAGGTATAATCCATTTCATTGAAATTGGCATAACAGTAGGCCATTATTGTGTAAACCGCGCTTTAAATGTGAAAAAGGCTTTACATATTAAGGAACTAAATTTGTCACTATAAAAAGTGATGTTAAGATAGTTAAAATTTTATTTTTAAAGAACCCTTTTTCAGAAGTTTTCAGAGAGTTTTTTCGATAAAAAGTTTAACATCCTGTTTCATCCCTTTGTAGGTGTAGTTTTAACACTAAAAACATACACTATTTGCTTTGTAGAAAATACAGACTTCGTTGATAATAAGTGGCTTCCAGAAATTTTAAAAGACGTTTTATTCACACCGGAGATAAAACACAATTTGTTTTCCGTGTAAGTTGCATCCGAAAGGGGTTTGGATTTTGTCATTAAAAATGTAGGACAAAATTTTGAATTTTTAAACAATGGTAAAGTTGTTGCGATMGGAGGRGAAAAAAKAAATCTGTACAAAATGAAGCTTCGCGTACTGCAGCCTGAAAAATGGTGTTTTGCCCTGGATAAAGTAATTTGGCTTAATTCAAATTGGTATAGTTGATTCCATKAACCTAAAATTCCTAAAACAGGAATAACAAAAAGAAGTTCATTATGTTTTCAAACATACCTTAGCGAGTACTTTAAATCTGAAGAGAACTAGTTTTAATTAAAATTTGAAAAAGTAGTGGGAATAACGAACAAACAACGAAAACACTGAAAAAACGAATACAAATGTCAGTCATGTCAGTTCAATAAACCATGTAGGTAAGTAATCAAAGAAAAACAAAAACCCCATCAGCTGTTATAACAGGAACATGTGCAGGGCTACAAACTTAAATACGAAATTCCATAGCCACCTATTATGCCAATTTAAATGAAATCTACTTTACTGCCATCATATGTTTTTGACTCTGACAGCGGCTTTTTGACCTTGAAAAATTACGTCAACATTAAATGTGCCAATTTAGGCGGAAACTCTCCGGAAACATTTTATAAATAAAAAACGTGGGTTGAACAATTCATATTACATACTTTTATACATCGAAACAACCAAGAAATAGTTCAGAAACGTCTCACAGGTTGGTCAAATAAAGGCAAAAGTGGCAAAGTGTAGTAATGGTAATGTAGGTAGATAAAGATGAGCATGGCCCAGTTCACAAAGCCTGTACGTGTGGTTTGTAAATAACTTTCAAGAATTTTTGGGCAATGGTTTTCTGAATTAAGATACGGTGTTGCGCTAGGATGTAAATACACATAATTCTGTTTTTTTTTATAAATACTGCAAAAATGTTTCTGAAGAAAATGAATTACGAATGAAAAAGGTAAACTATGTAATACTAATAGATACAGAGCAAATTCGTATACTCTCCTATATTTTTGAATCTATCTGTCTTCTTTAATCTTTTTAGCYAAATACCTTAAAGAGTTTTGAGTTTCTATGCATTGAAATGTTTGAACTATTTTGCCATCTAAATTGAGGCAAATTAAAGAGTTTTATCTTTGACTTGCAGTGCGCAATACAAGTTTTAGTGAGTTTTTTAAATTTTGTGATATAAATTTGTCAAATTGACATGATTTTTTTCAAGGTCAAAAAGCCGCAGTCAGTGTCAAAAACATATGATGGCAGTACCTCTGTTTATGACAGCATCTAGTGCCTTATTTATAACATAAGAAGGAGCAAACAAAAAAGTTATTTAGCTATATCGGCCAACTATTCTGATTTTTAATTTTTTTATGTTTGTTATTAATACGGGCTATTAGACCTGACGTCACAGACGCGACTGTACTGCAGCTAAACATACAGTGTTGCCAGTTGTGATACTAGAGTACCAAATTGATACTAGATTTTTTTTACTAGATATTTATATTTACTTGTAAACAAATAATAATTTATATTCTCAGCCAAATACACATTATGTGAATGTTAATATATTTTATTGTGTTTTGTTTTGGTACGACCTATCCACTCCTGTCGTTTGCAACATTCTGGCAATGCTGTACACATATTTTTGACGTACACAGAAAGTGAGGTTAGAACAGATTAAATTACAGAAATGTTGACTACAATTGTTTAAAACCATTACGAAACGACACACATTTTTCATAGCAACTATTTCCTTAGAAACAATCTCCCTACACGTCCAGGATTCAAGAAATAAACTTTTATTTGTTTAGCTTCAAAGGTACAGTCACGTACCTTGCTGACGTCACACTAATAGAGCGTATTCACAAATCAAAGAATTTTGTTTTAACAGTTGTTTTATTACGAATAAAAAAATTAGATTTAGATTATTAGTACTAAATAAATTTTAGCCGTTTCTGTAAATAAAAAGCAATTATCCTGAAAAAAAAAGAAAATTAATAGTTGGCCGATCATTTTGAAATTTGGTTTGGGGGCCGTAAATGTTGATTCTAAACAACTTTTCCTAACAACTTTTTGTCGTATTTGCCACACAAAAGGCACTTTACTCTACAAAAAATTGTTTTTTTGAAAATTACCAAGGCATACTTACTTAATTTTTCAAAACTAGAAATTATGTTGTAGAAATTAATCTTTAACCAAGCAGGGCTGAACCCTAAAAAATTAAAATTTAAATTGAATTTTTTTTTATCTTTTGCAAGAGTCGTGTAGTAAAGTTTTTTTTTGTATTTGGACATGAAGGTAAGGTTTTTAAAATTTAAAATCAATTTATCGAAGAGAACACAGTACGAGCAGCTTATTTCCAGACGACTAGTGAATACATTACCTACTACTTTAATAAACTTATAAATATTTCGATTCCATTAGAATTAAAAAGAATTTATTTGGTAATACAGCAAGTTTACAGAACAGGTCAATGTGGCCATATCGCACATGTCATATCTATGTCATGTTTGTCATATTTTTGTAATATAGGTTGTAGGAATATCAAAAATGTATTATGAGCATGCAGTATATGTACTAAATCAGAAATGCTAACGAATCTATATTAGTAAAAGCCCTCACTTTGTTCTAGATGGAACCTAATTCTCTCCAAATTGTCAATGCAAACTCGGACCGTACAATCACAGTAGATGAAGAAGCGCTGCGATGTATCTTAACGAAAAATGAGATCAAAGACAGATATTTGTCCATAATTTCCATCGCTGGGGTGTTTAGGCAAGGCAAATCATTTCTCCTTAATTTCTTACTGCGTTATTTACGAATTAAAGTAATACCAGTGATGCGATTATAGTGTCATCAATAATCTAAATTATTTTTAGTATCTTGAAATGAGGGATGTGACCGACTGGTTGAAAGCAGAAGATGGACCTTTGAAAGGTTTCAGCTGGTCTTCGGGTTCCAAACGGCATACCACTGGAATTCACATGTGGTCTGAGGTTTTCCTCACTGAAAAACCAACGGGCGAAAAGGTTGAGTACAGGATTTTATTCCCATGTGTTAATTCTTCTTTCAGATTGCCATCATTTTAATTGATACACAAGGTGCATTTGACCATCAAACTACGTTTGAAGACTGCGCCAGAATTTTTGCTTTCAGTACGTTGATCAGTTCGGTTCAAATTTTCAACGTGATGCGGAGTATTAAACAATATGACCTCACGCATTTGCAAGTACGTTGATTCCCTTTCTTGCGAAAAATTAATATCGATTGAACTGTTTGAAAAAGTTACAGTTCTTCAAATATTCTGTAAACGTAAACTTGACAATTCCATTATTTGTTTATTTTTAAAATGTAGTTTGAAGTGGACTGTAACGTTGCAACAAAAGAGTTTTTTTTTTTGCAAAAATGAATCACCTTGTATTTTGCCAAAATGGTCAAATTTTAAATGTATTTTTCAAGTGTTTTGGGGGCTACGGTAGTATGATGACAAACTGCATGTCGGTGCCTTTTCAAAACCTGTGTTTCCTGGTGAGAGATTGGGCTTGCCCCTATGAAAAGCCTTACGGAGCTGAAGGTGGAAACGCGTATCTGCAAGAAGTATTTGACTCATCTGAGAAAGAAGTCAAGGACCAAATTGAAAATCTTAAAGGTCTTTTCAGTGAAATGAGTTGCTTTTTGTTGCCTTATCCTGGTCGTATTGTTGACGCTTCTGATACGTTTGACGGAAATCTGAACGGTAATGTTTTAAACTTGAATTCATTTTGTCACAATTCATGTAATTGCAGACATTGATGAGGTGTTTAAGATTCAAGTCAAGGAATTTGTAACAAATTTGTTATCACCGGAAAATGTGCTTCTAAAAACTATTAGCGGACACCGAGTTAAAGCAGAAGAGTTGCTATGCTACATTCACGAATATAGCAACATTCTGAAGGGCGATTCGTTGCCGAAAATTGATACCATTTTTAAGGTTTTTTAAATGTTTAAGCTTTTCGTTCGTTTTCGAGTCAGTTTTCAGGCTACTGTTGAAGCACAACACAAATTAGCATCTTCTCAGGCGTTCAAATCTTACAAGAAGAATATGGACTTTGAATGCAGACGCAGCCCCAGAGGTTGGACAATCGAGGATTTGTATCAAAGACACGCATCGAATAAGAAAAAAGCCGTCGACTTTTACAGCAAAGTGAAAAAAATCGACGATACAGCTGTTTACGACAAATATTTGATTGAGCTGAAACATGTAAGAAATTAACTTTTTTGAATAAAAAAAACTAAATGGTATTATAGAGTATGGACGCGGAATTCCAGCATTATAGAAAAATAAACGACGAAAAGGTACGCCAGTATGAAGAAAGTAAAAGAAAATTGGAAGAACGTATAAATTCAACTAGGCGTGAAATGGCTGGTGGAAGTGGTATGAGTACTCTTGGAACAGGCGAAAAAGTCGGACTAGCTGCTGGCGTTATTGGTGGCGCATTGGCTTTGGCGTTTGGTGCTTCGAAATTGTTTAATCACAAAGGAAGCAACGAATAAGATGTTTTGAGACGTATTCATGTAATTCTGGTGTTGGAATATTGCATAAGTGGGCCTTTTTATTATATTAGATTTAAATTTGCTCCATGTACTAATTTTTATATTTTTAGAATTGCAATATTATTCAATAATCAATACTTTTTTTACTATAAAAGCCATTATGTGAGTACGAAAAACTGAAATGGCCATGAAATAAACATGAGGTGTAAACTTTATTAAATCTTTTATTACTTTTCCTTATAAACTCACAAGCTCTAATTTACTTTTTAATTACAAAGCTTCTGCACTTTGAATTTTGCGTTATAAAATGCAAAATCGTTTATACAAAATATACAATCATTATATTCTGTTATTAGTCTATTTAATTCTTTAAAAAAAATATAGTACAAAAAACATAAGGGGTGCAGGAAATTTGCGGATTTATTTCTAAAAGTATCAGAATTGTTCTGTAGTGAACAGGCACAACAAGGCACTATCGTAAACATATCTATATGAATAAGTACTGTATTTATACTTTACAGTTTGTGAAAATCTACGATTTACTTGAGTATTCTTATTCAGGAGTAGATTTTCACTAACCTTACAATTGTTTTAATCAATACTGATTTCATTTTTCTTATGTACATATTTACAACAATATGCATAGTTAATTATTTTGACATGATAAAATGTTTTAAGGCATCTTTGAGACTTCATATAAAATCCATGGAATGACAATTTGAAAATGTTAATAAATTAGTACACTAGAAAATTTCACAGATCTTTGAAGTCTATAAATGAAGTTCTAGACTAAAACAATATGCTAAAAAATGTGAAAGTCAGGAACAATACAATAAATACAATAATAAAAAACAAATAATATTTACATATTCTGGAATACAGAAATTAAATTTAAATAAAAATAATTTGAAAAAATCTAACAAGTTATATTATAAAAAGAAAACAAATCAAAATATTAAATAATATCACACAATCAACACTCGTTTATGTGTCACCAGTTGTTTATAATCACGAGATCATACTCCAATTATCACTTAAAGAGTCTAGAGTCTAGTCATTCGTGGGCCCATTGAAATTTTGGACTAATTCTCAATTTGCGCTACAAACCTACGACTAAAATTGCACGAAAAACACGAGTTCACACTGGCCCAATTACACGAGCACCGTAAGCACATCGGCACTGCCGCTCGTGTTCTGCGAAGTCCTCTGTTTATTTACATTAATAATACTTTTGCTAAAGTCTTTATGACCCGAGGAGTCATCGAAAGCCGCCGTGTTCTTCCGCACATCGGGATTTTGTGCTTTGTATAGCATGATTTGGCTGCTGCGGTGTGCCGGACTCAGCCCATCGCCCAGCTTCATCCCATCGCCCATTTTCAAAGTGTTGGTCTCATTGCTGGTACCGGGAACCACCAGCATGGTCTTTCTGGACCCCGGGCAGTCGACCTCGGAGATCATCTCCAACATTTCGCTGGAGCTGTCGTGGGGCAGCATCGAGCTCAGAGGCCTCACCACGCTCACTTTGGGGAGGTCCAGGCCGCAGGCCCCTGCCGTGTTGATACTCGCCATGCTTCCTCCGTCGTCCTTCAAGGGGTTGGCGTATCTTCTCAGGTTCTCTTCGTTTTGGAGGTTGTTGGATTTTTCGTCTTCGTGATTGCGGTGGCAAATGTCCGACGAGGGGGAGAGATTCATCCCGCTGAGACCTAGGTTACGTCGGCGTTGACGCAGGTAAAGAAGCGCCACGGTGATGGCGCCCATCACACCTATGATTATGAAGCATACGAGGGCTATAAGGTACTTGTTGTTTTGTTGCTCTTCAGACACCAGAGCTGTCTCGACTTTCACTTCTACGATGGAAGTGAGGGCTAAGAGGGTCGTCTGTTTGCGGGATATCGCCTCTCCGATCACGCGGATGCCGTCTAAGACGCCTTCCTCGCCCGACTGAAACAATGAACAATGGTTCAAGTAACGAACTTTGGAATTTCTTCATAAAGACAAGAGTTTCAATCTACAAAACTATGACCCCTTTCACTGGCTTTCTTTCGTGTTTCTTTTTGTTTTCGAATTCTGTATTGTTTATAATTTCTTAAATAAAATCTTTCAGTTTACAGTTACGCCCAAAGACTTGTTATAAAGCAAATACTTTTTCCAAAAATAGTTTTGATATTTGAGTTATCTACAGGTGTCGCAGAATTTAAAAACAAATATTATTTGAGTGAAATAATGTTCACTTTAGAGCAGAAAATTTTCATTGCTGTAGAAGAGGAAAACGGTGGATGGTCATTTTCACTTTCAGTTTGTGTGGAAAATTCCCAGCCAATGTGTTGCCAACTGAAGAATTTAATCAACGCCTACTCTAATTTATTTTTTATTTGATCGCACGGGACTAATCTAGTGCATTGCTTGAAATTATTCTCAACTGTAGAGCGTGTCCCAAAAATAAGTTACTAGACAAACTTGTTTTTTTAAATGAAACATTATACTCGTATGTTTCTTGGTATTTTTGAATGTATGTAGGTTTTAATTTCAATGTTTTTAAGCTAACTTTTATTGCTTAGTTTTTGAAATAAGTGGTTTTTTTTTTTGAAGAAAAAGTACTCTTTTTAAAAATCTATTACACAATAAGTTAAGATAAAATATTTTTACCAATGTAAAGAGGAAAGTACGAACTTTAAGACTATAACATTTTTTCAATGAATTGTAGTCGAAAAATTAAAAAAATGTAGAAGTCTGTTAGAAGTTAATTAATTAAAAAAAATTAAATGGAACACCCCATTTTTTATTTTTGCATCTAATACATTGATAAATAGTCTATCTTAAAAAAATAACTTTTAATGTCTAGAACTGATAAATTAAAAAATATATAGCTTTAAATGTTAATTATAGTAACAATGGCTATCATTAAAATGAGCATCGTTGACATCAAGGCAACCATAGTAATTCAACCACGAATCACTTATTTGGGATTCGTCCGGAGCCGGCATAAATATTGAAATTTGAATTGTTTTATGGTAAAAATAAAGAATAATGGATTCAGTGTATCAGTGTAAGTAACATAAATGTGATTAAGTGATATTTTTTCCATCTCTTGTGATAATGTGCACTTTTTGACTATTGAAATAATACTTTTTTTAATGTTTTAGTTAAATATCTTTTGTGTTATTAATTGTAGGCACTTGAAAGTAAATATTTTTGGAAAAATAATTTAATAATCTCTTTGATGCAGAAACAAAAAATAGGCTGTTCCATTTAAAATTTTTAAGTTATTTAATTTTTAACAAACTTCTTCATTTATATCTGTGCAAGTGCAACACACTAAAACTAAACAATTATTATAGTTTTAAAGTTAGTACTTTTTTCTATGTAGTTGTAAAAAAAAATTCTAGCTGTCTTAGTTTTTGTGTAATAATTTTTTAAAGGGTATGTTTTCGTCAAAAAAAAAGCAACTCATTTCAAAAACTAAGCGAAGTCGACCAATAGAAGTTATCCCTTCTGAAGGAACTTACCAAAGTCACTTCGACGGTGTCGTTGTAGTCAATTTTAAGGTCACACAATAGGACCAACTCATTTTGCAAATCATTAGCTGCCTGTTGATTGGCCAAGAGTCGTCTTAAGTCGCCACAAAGACTCTCCACGGTTACACCTGATGGTAATTTGGGCCTATCCAACAATAAAGTTAGTCTGGCGCAAGTATTGCTGAGGACGGCTTGGTTGGGCCAACAAGTACTAGGACTGGGTACCGAAGGTGGTTTTACCCTTCGCCCACTTTCCAGATCTCTACACTCTCCATAAGGTTGGCACGGTGGTGACAAACACGACTCGGAAGGTGACGGGACACAAACTTGGTTGTTATTGCAGTTAATCCTTTCGGAGCTTCTGCAATTCCCCAAACCACACCAAATCTTCGTACATTTGACCAATCCGTTGAGACACAAACACGTATTGCATTCGTGTTGCCACGTGATGTTGTTTTCCAAGGTGTGGCCTTCCCATGTGCAACTTCCTGGAGATGGAAGATGGGAATTGTCTGGAACTGATCCTATCGATAATTAATGATTCTAATCTCGTCGTGAATAATTACCGTTACACTGCTTTCCGCTCCTTCCTGGCGAACAAATGCAATCATAATCGTCGATTCTATCCAAACAAGTGCCTCCGTAGCCGCAAGGGTTCGAAGCACAGTCGTTGACGTTGATTTTGCAGTCCGGTCCTGTGAAACCAGGGGCGCATTCGCACAGAAACCAGTTGACACCGTCTATGCACTTCCCGCCGTTCTGACACGGCTGAGGGATGCAGTCGTTGACGTCGTCTTCACAGTGGACGCCCTCGAATCCGTCTTTGCAGATGCACTGGTAGTAGTCCCCGGTGTTGACGCAGGTTCCGCCGTTGAGGCAGGGGTTAGATCGGCAAGCGGTTTGTTTTGCGATGTGACAAGTGGTTCCTTCCCAGTCTGGAGGGCATCTGCACATAAACGTCTTGCCTAAATCTTGACAAGTGCCGCCGTTCTTGCAAGTCGTGTGGTCGCAGTGGCTATCTTTGAGGGAGCAGGTTTTGCCCTTCCAGCCGTTCTTGCAGTTGCACTCGAAGTCGGCGATTCGGTCCACGCAAGTGCCGTTGTTTCGACAAGGATTGGGATTACAGTCGTCGGTATCTGCAAAAAGTAGTAGTTGAGGGAGGGAACAGGTATTTTAATCCAAAGGAATGTATTTGCAGTTCTTCTTGCATTTTAAATAATAGATTATTTAGATACAAGTGATATAAGTTTTACTTTACATTATAATTTCTTTTGCGTTGTTGATTTTTTAAACTTACTTATATTGCATAAAGCGCCTTCCCAGCCTTCTTTGCAAATGCACTGAAACGCATTGATCTTGTCGACGCAGGTCCCACCATTTTCACAAGGGTTCACTTTACAGTCGTTTATATCTAAATGACAAGTGTTAATTTTTGTTTTGAAGAATTCTGTGGGACTTACTCTCGTGACAATACTTTCCTGTGAATCCCGGTTGGCATTGGCACCGGTGTCCGACTCCTGGGAGATTAACACAGTGTCCGTGTTCGCCACAAATGCTAGGGGCGCTATTTCTTCCACTTCCTACTCCTACAGCTATGCAACTTTCCACTTCTGTAAAAGATTCAGAGTGAAATATTTTACCTTTTCTGGGATAATCAAGGCGAGTTACATTGGTTGGTGACAAAAACGCGTTCGTTTGCTAGTAAATGAGGCGTGTAAAGAGTTACCAACAAAAGAAGTGCTTGAAAATATTTTGTCTTTTAATTTTTCCGTGGCCGATGCCTTGTGAGATAAGTTTGAAAAAGTCTCGATTTAAATCGATGAAATATTACGTCACAACAATGGGAATGAAAAGAAGTTGTTCTTTTGTAATGTATGTACTCGAGGCGGCGATGCAAGTCACTGTTCCGCGAGTGTATTTGGTTCGATACAATACCGCTGATGAAAGATATCAATGTGGTTATCGGTAATCTGATCTCCATTTAGAACTTATTACCAGTTGAGAGATGAGCGTTGTGGGTGTTTGTAATTTAGCACGGAGGAAATTTTTTACGCCGGCCCTGACAATTTCGCGTGGGCCCCACGACTCAATATAACCACAGCCGACTACCCAAGAAGAAAGAAATCTCCCGAGTTGTCGAGGGTGGCCCTCAAATGAAAGAGGAATATGAGGTATAGCGCACTAGTTCGCGTCAATTAAACACTTTATGAACGGTAGATAAGTGAGAGAGTCGGCCGACCGGTCCGGCTCCATTTCTGCCTCAGCAGGATGCAGGAGCCCCCCGGAGCGCGTGCCCCCCACTTCACCTAGCTTGAAAATTACCTGTCAACCCGAGCGTCATCCGCCAAGATTCATGCACAATATTAACACTGTTCTTCGCGACTTGGCCCAAGTTTAAAAATAGCATTACTCACCTGCATGATATGTTCCCAGCAATTATTCTATGGGCCGTGTTAGAGACGTTTTGCTCGTTTTACCGTCGCTCTTAACATCCGGAAACGCAAGTAAATAACGTCGCGTCTTTAAAATGGAAATAAACGTGTCTTGTTTTTATATCCCTTATAGTTAACGATTAAAGCTGCAAAACTTCGGTTTTTTAAACCAATACAGTTGTCTGCTATTATTATTAAAAAAATACTCCAAATTTAAAACACAGCAAGTAAACATAAGATAGAAAATAACATTGGAAATAAAATATAAAAAAACATTAGAAAAGTAGGGTGGAAGCGTTTACAGTAAACCAACAATTTTCATTTTTTCAAAAGCAATGACAACTGTTGGAGTTAGTTGTTGGAATAAATGGAGTTAATTTATTTATTAATGTCTCACCTTTTCTTTTTGTCTATTTACAAAAAAATTTGATAATTAAAAATGTTTTTTTTTATTCAGTAATGTACAAAATGAAGTTAAAACAATAGGGATAAGGGTTCTTTCAAACTTTTGAGAATTGCAATTATTGTAGAATGTACAGTATTGCTGAGAACTTCTTAGCTGAGTATATATTTGTTTCATCAAAGAATTCAGAAGAACGTTGCTTGTGTGTAAATATCCTGTTGCTGTGAAGAGCGGACAATGAAGCAGCATTCGTTTGAGATCTGCATGTTGCTGACTAATAGAGTCAATCTGTAGAACAGCGCAAATGATTTGCTACCATTATGTGTTTTCCGCTGATGTAAATGCTGTTATTTGGATTATGAGAACGTTTTCAATTCGTAATCCTTAAAGCACGAGATGAGAAATGCAGACCATTTCGATATTTTTGTTTTTATTGGTTACATATGTTATCGTTTGCGATTTCCTATTTTATTGCACCAGAGTCACGATAAATTTCTTTTATTCCTCATCATTAAATAGAGCCTTTTTTATGCTTCGAATGAGAGCAAAATTCTCATAAGTCTAAGAGCATGCACTAACCGGCTAAGTCTCTTTTCCTTACACTTACTGTCTGGAATGATGATTATACACATTTCAGTTCATCAAACGGCAGGCGCAAAAGTAAATGGTATAACTCGAAACCGACGTAGCGACAGAGTGTTTTAATTAAACTAAATGTTAAAAAATTCTGGGGACCATTTTGCGCAAAATTAAAGGAAAAAAGATTCGTATCCCTTGAGGTTCCATATTATTTTCAACATTTCATCACTTTAAACGCTTTTCTAAAAAAAAGATGATAAGTAAACAGAGAATCCTGATATGGAAAACATGAAACACTCAATTATTGTTAAATTTCAGCCTGAACAACGCTTGATGATGAAAAAGTAGTTTTGTGTTTGAATAAAAGTGTATAAAAACTCTTGCAGGTTATATTACCATCAGATAAGCCACATTAAATGGTTGAAAATTTACGGCATAATTAAAATTTAGGTAACAAAGTTGGGCCACAAATTACGAACCACCTCGAGCTTTCTTATCTGTAGTAGTGCCATAAAGAGGAAAATATGTATATAAATGTCAAAATCAATTACACACCGTATTTACATCAGCACAAATAAAGTTAAAACCAATTATAAAAGTGATTTCCTTAAACAAAGAACTTGTTTTAAAACGACTAGTATTAATCTTATTCCATTAATTTCGAGATTTGCATATGGTAGGCTTGGATGCAGTTACAAGTAGGTTGGTGACTGCAATGCCTCCGTATCGATGACTTTTCGCGTCTCTCACAGAAAGCGAAACCTTTACAACATAAATAAACCTGTTAGCAAGTGGAAATGCCATTAATTACAATTGTCTTAAAATAAATCACTATGCAATGCAAAAAGAATTGGACCGGAATGTTTACGCGCTCTGACTTAATACCGACATAAATTCAACACGAGAAAAGAAAATTCCACACGCAAAATCTTACCGTCGTCGCAGGGAGGGTTGTCGCAAATCGCCTTGCTCTCACTACAGTTCTTCCCCTGCCATCCTTCAGGGCAATGGCAGTAGTAGTCGGTCTGGGTGTTGAAGCAGGACGCTCCGTTTTGGCACGGGTCGGGACTGCAATGGTTGTAGTCGTTCTGAAACAACAAACATTTATTATTATTACAAAGTGAGAAGCACTTTTCCAAAGCGACATCGCTGAAACCCTTTTCGGCTGAATTATTCATGTCTCCACCCACGTTTCAAGCTGATGTTTTCAGGTGGCCGAAACGCCCCCTCAGCTGTCATTATGATGTGGCCACGGCTTCATTGAAAGGCGGCGTTCCCGATTATGTAGTTAAATGTCGCCACGGGCGTCTCGTCTCATTGCTGCTTGCATTAGCGACGACTAAATGATTTGCTCGCCGAGAGAAATGAGTAAATACCCGTCATTATCTCTAATGTCCGCTCGTTATTATCGTTTATTTAGCTGATACGATTATGGATATTAGCGGTTTGTTCGTAAAATTGCCGTTTAATATTGAGATGTTTTCGGTAAATTGACGCGCTTTGCGTTTTTCTCTTACCTCACACTCGTGACCGGTGAATCCCACAGGACAGATGCAGCGATATCCGTTGACTTGGTCGACGCACTCGCCACCGTTCTTGCAAGGGTTCGAGGCGCAATCGTCGATGTCCGTGTGGCAATCGCGACCTGGAAATCAATGCACATCAAAATTAACAATTAATTAACATGAACGGTCGGCCATTTTGCTCAAGAACACAAAATTGTTCAACGTATAAGGACACTTCACGTTATTTTAATTAAAGTTATACGAGTAATGTCTTGAGCTCATTAAACTTTGTAGCTTTTCGCTGTCAATTAGTTAGTGGTACAGCGCGTTTGTTGCAATTTCTTTGTACATAAGAGTACGGTTCAAGTGGGATTATCATTAAATTCATTTTTATACCGGACGAGTAGATATTTTATAGTTGTATTAAATGTAATAAGGCTGTAAAATATTATTTACTGATCGTAAGTTTATAAAAATAAATAATTATAATAAAGGCCTCGTCTATTGGCAAAAACAATTAAACGATTTCCTCATTAAAATTCCAACACGTGGGATTTCATTGCAAAATTATGTGTAATAAAATGTTCATTCATTTTCTTTAAGACTCAAAACTGTCATCCATCATGTTCTTATTTTACTTTTAATAAGAGGTGGCCAGCGAAAAAAATTGTAATACAACATAACATGTGTTTACACTGTAGAATTTTATTTTGCAATTTTCGCTAACCAATCTTGTCAAAAAAAGAGAGCTTGAATAATACAAAATAGAAAAAATATTAAACAAGGTAGTGTGACCATTTAGTGAAAATTATTGGCAGAAATTCAATGCCCAAATTAAAAGGTTGAAGAAAGTGTTGCGTGGCAACCTTTTCTTATGTTTTCACCTGATATAAAGTTGCGTGTTGTTCATTTGCCCACCGAAAAAAATACACCTTGAGAAACATAAGTTTAAACGGTCGCAAATCTCTGTTAGCTCGGCTATAAAATCCTTATGTTTATGAGATTGCCAAAACCTTACAAGGAAAATATTTACAGACACAAGACTATTACGTTAACTATTAAACGTGTTTTTCGGTTTTGTCAAAGAATTATTTCAATGTAACTGTATATTTGTTAATGAATTCGTAATGCAATTTATGATTATTTTTATTAAGTTTGTTGTGTACAAGAATTTGTGTATTTCGGTTTTATTTTATAAATATGTAAGAGGACTGTCTTAATTTATAATCAACAAGAGACATTAGTGTTTTAAATTAAATCGTGCGACGTTTTATGATTATAAAACAAAAATTAATGGTAGAATTATTAAAATCGGTTGGAGAAAATAGAACTTTTGGGTAAACCCGTCGAAGGATACTGGATATTGGGTAGGTATAGATACCGTTAAATGGTTGATCTGAGAAATGTCTACAATCGTGACGAAGCAATTTATGCGAGTATGTATTTATGTGACTGTATAAAAAACAACATTTTCAAATGCCTGTTTAAAATCACTACCAAAGTTTCACGATTATAACTAATAAATTGTCAATTATAGATTTTTGTGATTCTTTCTTGTTGAAATTGTTTTGGTTTGGGCAGCAATAGGAGATGTATTTTCAAAATGAATTAGAAAAATGTTCGCAGAGTTCTCCTATTGAAACTTTATTTTCTACATTTTTTTATAAGAAGTGATAATTTAGTAGTGGTCACCACTCAGGTGCTAGCGTAATGTAAAAGAGTTTTCTTATCATAAAGTGTCAGTTTTTGTGATGCTGCCGCGCAAGTTCCGTGAATAGAATAGAAATGAAGATTTGAAGATTGATCGAAGGTCAGGTCGATCCTTCATTCCCAACCATCAATCTTGCATTCTAACTGATCGGGGCATAAAATTGCCCGTAAACACCGGTGAAAACCTCTACTATCGCCATGTAGTAGTCGGAAGGGAGCGTCAATAATTGTATAATGTCCATTTTACACAAAATCGTGCACCTCTGAATGTAAATGCACTTATCGACAGCATCAACACTAGCAATGCTCTCGTCTCTTTTCAATTTTAAAGTGTTGATGTCGGTCGTGAGCGCAAAAGCAACGGTTATTTGCGTTAACATTCACACGTCAGAATGAATTTTAATGACACATTCTTATTCCACGTTTCGCACGAAGAATTTCTGGACGGTTTTAAGACGCAAACAACGACAATCTCTATTTTATGTCCTCCGCTGACGAATCTACTTATCTCCGATCAACATCTGCAATCATAAAGTTGCACGGGATTCGTTAAGGCGCTCGATTGTATTCAGTGCAGACGATTTATTTTAATGTGGGATTTTTTTTTAATACTGACCTGTGTAGCCTGGTTGACAGGCACAGTGGTAATCGTTGACCAAATCGATACAAGTGGCGCCATGTTGGCATTGTCCCACACAATCGTTGATGTTAGTATCGCAGTTTTTTCCCATCCAACCGACTCGACATTTGCACCGATAATCTCCGACCAGATTTGCACAAGAGATGGCATTTATGCAAGGGGTCGTCAGGCACTCGTCTGCATCTAGACAAGGGCAAAATCGTCAAAATTTGTCACCTTCCCAGCTGATTATCCACTTACCGAATTGGCAAACGTTGCCTTCCCACGCTGGTGGACATTCGCACTTGAACATGTCTTCGAGATCGATGCACGTTCCTCCGTTCTGACACGGAGCAGAAGCACATTCATCAATATCTGTAATAAAATAACGAAACAATAAGAACTGCACTCAGGTCAAATATTCCTATAAAATCGACTGATGTTGTGTAGAAATGAGGCACGAAACAGATATATCATGTTAAGGAGACAGGAACTCTCGTTATTTTTTCTTCTCTTTGCTCGCTATCTAATCTAAGATCATGACCAGGAAAATACCGCTGTCGCAAATAAAGCACGGACGTATCACTCATTTTCAAGAACTGATAAGTTCACTTCCATCAACGGTTACCCAATGCACATTGCTGGAATTACTCTTCTGGCTTGCTGAGCGTTAGACGTTCTTTTATTTGTTTTATTTAATTTTTTTTTTTTTAGAAATAATGGAAAGATGCAAACAAACACCAAAAAGTACGAGTGTAACAGCCCCTAATTGAAAAGAAGTCTTTTCTTGTCATTTGATATAATACATTTTTAATATTTGATATAATCAAATCAATTTTGTAGCCTTCATTAACATAGCCTTTAGCTATTTATGTCAACTATTTAATTCATATCAAAGAGCGGGAGTGTAATTAAAATGTTTCACATTTTATTCTGGAAAATAAAAATTCAGTGTCTTAATTTGTCCAATCATTTTAATGAAAAAATCGACTGTAAGAGGTACGAAATTCTTTTACAAATAAATTCTGGTATAATTATGGAAGAACTTTCACGGCTAGAACAGTTTAAATTATTTTTTCAGGAATTAGAGCGCGTCAGAAGAGCTGGAGTACCCGACGTTTCGCCAACCATCGTCATAGGAGGCGAAATTCTAGTACAGGGTGTTTCAGAGCTCGCGCCCCAGAGAAAAATTCCAAGTAAGATATCAGGAACATAGAAAAATGTTTAAAAAAATTTGTCATTTATTTTTTGACATTTATAAAAAAAATTTATGTCTATTTAGTATTACTGATGATATATAGATATATGTTTTTTCATAATTATTTAGTAAAGATACAAAAAATTTGCCAACAAAAGCCACAAAATAACGTTAAATATTTAACAATTTAAAATACAGCTTCCTTGTTTCCTCTTCCAATAGCCCGCAGTAAAAAAACATAAAAAATTCTTTTGTCAACAGAAAAAAGTCAAAGTGCAAAATTTAAACTCCTATTATCTATTTCGAAATTTTTAGATAAGATTTTTTAAACATTTTTTATATATTCCTTACATGGCATTTTTCTCTGGAACGCAAGTTCTGAAACACCCTGTATAAAGGTGTCCTGCAATAAACACTAGATTTAAAAAAATAGGGGATATATTAAGTTACAGAGGGATTCATAATCAAACTTGTTGACGAGTTTGTATTATTTTTAGTAGAAAAACCTAATGATTAGTACACAAAACCAGGTTAATAAATATTATTCCAGAAAATTCTTTTTTCTTTATAATCATCTGTCCTGTATTTTAGAAAAAAAAATGTTCAAAATGAGATCAGATATTGCCTATAAGATAAGTTTTAAAATTATTAACAGTCGTTACTCCAAATAAACCCGAAATTACTCAAAGTTTTGTTCATTCTTTGTCCGCTCTTCAAGTTCGACCAGTTTTCAAAAGCGACCGTGTTGCGCAAGTAAACCTCATGCATCATCGTACCAAATTGGGCGTAATGATGATATTACCTATACATAATTTTGAAAAATAAATCGTCCACTGCCACCGGCAATCTATTGACCAATTACCGCCCAAAATTGGCCGCAATTTGAGCTTTCTCGCGGGTTTTGCGGTGACACTCGTAAGGTTGCGCCCCCTGTCGATGGTTGCACGAAAGAAATCCACGTATAAATCAGCGGCGTACCCGGCAATTACGTCGCTCCCCCGCCCCGTTATTATTTCTATTACTTGCAGGGAGCGCTCCGATCGCGGGGAGACTTAATTACGCCAGAACGCTGCGCTGTGCCACCTTTGACCCCGCATTCCTCTGGTGCTGCCACCTATTCGGCACGAATCTACTCAATGCCCTCTTCCTATTCGTGATGGCCAATCCGAGATGGTTCATTTCGATCAATCGGTACCGTATGCGCAAAAAATCTTCTAAGCTATTATGAATCATGACGACTTGTTTGGAATCAACGAATGTGAAAATTAAATTGACAAAACCAAAAAAAATGCAAATTTCAAATGTAAAAATATGTATTGGAAAATTTAAAAATGAATAATTAAATCGAAAAAATTCCAAAACTTGATTGTATTCGTGGCTGGAGTTTTGTCAATTTTTGTTAATGATAAATCACGATGTCGAAGCATTCCATTTTGTTCGTCCATCAATACCCATCATTTAGTGGGTATAATTGCAGGGTACGAGGAAACGTAGAAATGAAGTTCTAAAAACGTGGATGAGTAAATTAAATAATTTAATAAATAACAATTTTGAAAAACAGTAGACAACTACCATTTACTGAAGAAGTCGGCCCGGAGGATTCATTATGGTCGCCGGTAGAAACGCTTACCTTCTCGGTAGAAAAAAAACTCAATTAATTTAACTTCTCAGAAAATAACAGGTCTGTTGTTTGATGGCAACGTGAGAGGCGTGGTACGAAAACAACTTGGCTTCGACTCTGACTATTTCTTCACTTTCTCTTCTTTAAACCCAGTTTTATGGTCAAAGTTTCGTTGAGAATCTGCAGTATCGTCAAGTGTTCCGACGATTTAATCGGGTTACATGCTGGTAAACTATAGACGACTGTTCAAGAAGCATAAAAACTCGCCCACAGAAACGTGTCCTGCGAGAATTGGTTCAATGGGAAAAGTACAGAAATTTATATTGTTGTAATGCAGTGCTAGATTACATAAGGACATGGCCCTGGAGACTTAACACTGCTTTGCGTTTAAATGAGTTTTTATTGCTTTGTTACCGTTACTTATTTTTTGTATGTGATATGTAGCTAGTTACTTCAAGTCCCTTTAATCAAAAAATAATTATTTTTTAAATAAGAAATGTAAAAAATAATAAAGAGAAATAAAAGACTAAAAAAAATATGAAACATTAAAAAATACGCTAAATGTTTGTTATTAAAGTCTGTCTATATTTGCTTTTTTATGATTTTGACTTACCAAAAAAGTTTTTTGAGGGATTTAATGAGGATGGTTGTTACCAAACCAACCAGCTGGTCGTTGAAGCAACTTCAAAGAAAACAAACCTTTACAACTAAGGGGTTGTGGTTTCTTAATCACTAAAAGCCCAAACAGTTAATTGTCTCTATTACACCATAAAATTCAAGCAAATATGGACAGACTTTATAACCATTCAAAAAAATTCAAAATCTTGACCTTTGACATCGTTTCCAATCTAATGAAAATAAGATAAATAAGTCACTTCTGTGTTTAAATTGATACTTAACAGTTTAGTAATAAACGCCAAATAGGTTAGAAGAAGTTCTTTTCAAAATTCCTCCCATTAATTAATGTTCATTTAATACGTTTTGCTACAAAACAATTTAACATGCTGTTTCCTTTTGCTACAGTGCTCAATTATGGATGAAGAAACATCATTTTTAGTTTTAACTTCATTCTAAATCCATTGATTTTTCAGATCTATTTAAAAGTGAGGCTGCTATTTTCACAACAATTTTCCACCTGGCAACCGGACTTTGTTTAAAAAGCCGCGACCCTTTAAGTACATTGAAAAATCAATTGATTTATTAGAGTGTAGGAAAAAAACAGTAGGTAACAACAAGGCGATGAATCAAATAAACTTTTAATTTTGCAGTATTGTCATAAAATAATATTTATATCTGATATATCTGGGAATAATTTTGAATTTAATCCAATGACATACGATGTGGTTTAAGCAAGCCAGTTATTACAAATGCATCAACCTTCACGCCCATGTTATTATATCCTCAGTGATTAGGAACTATAAAAATTCAAAAGTTTTTTCCAAGTGCTGTGTAACCGATCGTCTATTTTATTACTTAGTAGCTTTGATTGGGTTTGTGTGTAGGTGTAACTTAATAATCCCTCAACGCCATAATTATAGCCTCGAGAATTATTAATATTGTCTGACGCAAAGAATCTCTGAGTTATGCAGAAAACAAATCGAATATTTTCCCCTAACCTTAGGTCTTACCGCACGATTCTCACGACCTGATTATTTTAATAACGTTTAATTTAATTAATTCATTTGAATCAGTGACGCAATTAAAATTTAATTGTGTGAAATCTGTGGAACTAATCAAGAAATCTTATAAGCCCAACAAAAGAAAACGGTCTGCCTTCCATCAATCAACGCTCGAACAAGTGGCGAGGTGGGGGTCCATACAGCCCCTTTTCACATATTTTCTACCACTAACATTAATGAAAGATTTATTGACAACACGACACAGAGGCAAAACACAAACAAGAATTTTATTTGTTTAAGTATATGCCGTCAGCAGCATATTTTTATTTTTAACCACATGTTACAAATTCGAAAACAACGTCGAAATCGTTTCAAACTATATTTTTAATGAAGGTTAGTTAGATTCAGTTATTTTTACCAGAGAAATGTAATTAATTTTTAACAATCACATTAACAGAATTGAACTATGTATAATGCGTTTAGAATTTCGTCTAACTTTTTTTTAATGTGTAGCTAATGTCGGAGCTGCTGGAGCTTCATTCAACCTCACTTCCAATTAGGGAACCAATTTTTAAGATGATTGATGGTACATACCGTACTGTTGGTTGCCTACCTCCCCCTTTGTACGTTACTTACCCACATTGCAGGTGGGCCCTGTCCATCCAGGGGCACATTCGCAGCTGAAGGATCCCCCGGCTTCCAGACAGGTCCCTCCATGGAGGCACGGCTGAGGTGCGCATGGATTGTCGACGACTTCGCAATTAGTGCCCGAAAACCCTTCCGGGCAGGTGCACAAATAGGTATCCGGAGCCGTGTTCTCACAGGTGCCCCCATTTAAACACGGTTCATGAGTTCCGCAGTAATTTAAATCTGGAAAGATTCAAAAATTTAGATGAAAAAAGCACTTGTTTTACGAATAATTAGCCTGCTTGACCTCGGTGATTGACAGGATGAGTGAACCGAATTGATGGTTCGGTGGGAATTGTGTGGATTTTCGAGAGGTAAATTGGTGTTGCGGGGCTTCCTATTAATAACATAGTGGACGTGAAATAATTAACGAGTGATTTTGACGGAAAATTAATATACATACATACATAAAATCTCTTCAACCATACTAAAATCACAATTTCAACAAAGCGCACTCTGTTAAAATTTACATCGAATCCGATAATTCTTGAAACTCCCAGTTTTACTCCTAAAATACATGTTTTTTTTTTCAATTTTTAAATCTAAAAGAATGAAATTAGGTTGTTGTTTATGAATTATAGTTAGGACTTATAATTGTTAATATCTGTATAATTAAAAAACAAAAAGCATTTTAGAAGATTACAACATTAAAAAATTTTGGTGCATACATGGTGTTTGAGAACTCGTACCTCAGAGAAAATTTCCAAGTAAGATAAGTAACCAGGAACATGGAAAAAATGTTGAAAAAATTTTGACATTTTATATTTTTTTTATGTCTTTTCAATGTTATTAATTTTGCTAATAAAAGCCACAAATAATGTTAAACAAGTTACAATTTAGGATACAGCTTCCTTATTTTTCCAACAGAAATACTTAAACTTAACTCCCATAATTTCTAAATTTTTAACATTTTTTCCATGTTCCTAGTATCTTACATCTTTTTCTCTGAGGAGCGAATTCTAAAACACCCTGTATACAAAATCACCAAAAAATATCAGTTTTAACAATGAAATACACTGGCCGCGATTTTTCACATTGCAATATTTTTGTTATGCTTTGTCGGATTTCGACGATTTTTGTTTGGATTAAAAAAAAAACTTTGTAGATCATTGTAATTTAATTGAATAACACTTCTAGGTTTGTCCTCTAAATGTGATACTCAAAAGACAAAGGCACTGTTTTTTTACTTATTTTTATACTGAACTGTGGTGTGCGACAGAGACAAACTTAAGTTTTTACTGATTTCAGATTATTGCCCATTCTTTTCAGAATAATGTACATACCACATTTTCCATAATTTTAATTCTTAAAACATGAGAGATATAAACCTTCAAAAAAAACATTACATTTAGGCACATGAAAGCTTCCAATAATTAACCGTTTTACTTGTTGTAATTCCAAGTTTTTCAGATTTTTTGAAGAAGTAGTTCTTTTTTTGGTAACATAGGCAATAATTTTCGATTAAACTACCTTTTTATATAGCCTACTTTCTGAATAAATATGTAGTAACATTAGAAAAGCAACGACTTTTTCAATGCTTTGTATTTTTGGGACACTAGAAGATAAAATTTTGAAACAATTTGGTCCTCATTCAAAAAAGAACGGACAATAACCTGAAACAACTAAAAATTTAATTTTGTCTCTGTTGCACCCTACAGCTCAGTATAAAAAAAGTAAAAACACAGTGCTTCGTCTTTTAGGTAAAACATTTACAAGAAATTTAGAAATGTTATTAAATTAAATTACAATGTTCTGCAAAGTCCGTTCTTTAAAACGAACAAAAATTCATCGAAAACCAACAAAAATATTGCAATGTAAAAAATCGCAAAATTTTTGTTGTCCCGTTATTTTTGGCGGCCAGTGTATAAGTATAAAAACGCTTTACATTATTTTTTCACTGAAGTGATTATTTTCTCTAGTGTTTTTTAATGTAGGTAATGAAATTTCATAGTAAAAATACTAGCGTTATTCACATATTTTTACACAGGAAGAAGAAAACACCTTTCTAATCAGTTGCTTTATTTGAAAATGCACCTCTTCTAACAAAATTAAAAATTGTCTGATTTTTTAAATTACTCGGTAAGACCAATGAAAGTACCAATGGTGTAAAAAATGCGTGCTAAAACCATACTTTTTCATTGTAATGACTACCTACTTCGTCTCTTTCGGATTGATTTTTTATTGAATATGAATTATTTTTCAAAGACCAAAGAAGTTATATCAAGGATCACATTTTGGTGTGTCGATAGAAAAATCAATAGTACTAAGTTATAAATATCGCCAGTAAATACAAATTTTTTTATGTAGTATTGATTTAAAAACAGTACAATCATGTTGAAAACTTCAAACAAAGAGTGACATCTACTTCCCATTAGTTACTATAATAAAAGCATTAATATGCCAGCGCCTTTAAACTAATTTAAACAGCTTTAAAATGTAAAGCTCCTCGAGTTCTGATAAATGCAGTCTACGAAACACCGTGGGATATTCTACAGGTGCAACTTTAGAGTTCCCGGGACTAAGTCCTCTAATCTCAACCGGATACAGTGAAAGAAAGAGGATTACAATCACAAAAGTAGTACGCGTCAACACACTTTTGTTTCATTTCGTGGGTTACCTTTTATTTATAAAGCACCCGGAGGTGATCTGTTCTGGAAATATGTATCATTTTAATTTATAATAACATACCTACAGAGTGCAAAATGCTCATAATAAATCGCGAGTTAACGGAGGAGGTTCTTTGTGTTGAAATGCGAAAAAAATTGTTTGTTGGGAGGAAACGCGTCCCGTCTGGGCCAATTAAAATTTTTGACCGCTGGTCAGCGTTTAACAAATTTCCGGAGCGGGTTTTGACACTCTGGAACAAACTAAATTAGCTGTTTTGGCGAGGTCACATAATGACCGCCTGGTTTTAATAAGTGAAGTTAATTAGCTTGTTTTCAGTCATCTGCCATAATTGTCTGTTAAAATCGTTTTATTATATTGTGACTTATAATTCTAATATTTCCAGGTGTTTTGAAGGCCATTAATACTCAATTTATAATCAAATTCTTCAGATTTAAGTGAGTTCCTTTCAGCAAGATCACCACGTGTATACTAACAAGTCTTCAGTAATTCGATGTGGTGTTAATGAACTTTTTTCCTACCACATTTTTGCAGTCCATATTAACACGTCATTATGTAGGTATACACTTTCTATACTATTTATGTTATTTGCTTCTTTATGAAATCATTCATGTGTAGCAATTACTCGCCAATTTTTATTTATTTTTTACGCTATTAATTAATTTTAATTGCTGCTCAAAAACAACTCTTCTTGCCGTTTCTCATGACTCAAAAACGTGTAGATCAAGAATAATACAATTGAGGTTACATAATAACGTTCCTCATTGAATCCTGTCGTCAAAAAAAATTAATGTAGCGTGCAAGCGATCTGTCATTTCCATACAACTTAATAAACATAAACTTCACCACGAATAATCGGCGTCTTTGTTATCGAAAATGTTAAAAAACCATAATAGCAATGAGAATACGACAGATGCGCCCTTGTACAACTGTCGTGAGTGTTGTATACAAAACAGAAAAAAAAACTAAAGTGTCCTAAAGGGACCACAGTGTCCATTCATCACTATGTTTAAAAAAATGGAGCAACAGGGGTGTCATGGATTGTGATTTGGAATAATGGTGCACTTGATCATGCGGCCGCTTCAACCCTCGTTATTAAATTAACAATGGGATTTAATACGGATTGCACGATTTAACCCTTCAACATGTGTATACATGGGGGAGGCAATTAACCAAACATTACATTTTACAAGATAAATGGTACTTTTAAGTCCTCTTCTCACGCCCGTTTTTTTTTTTTGTTTAGATAATAGATTATTGTAAATAATGACTGTTGCACATAAAGAAAAAAGTAACCAAATGAAATGATTCACAAATGCAGCTTTATTTATAAAAAGAACTTAAGTTTGTTAGGCTTACATTCAAAAAAATGGATAAACATTAGAATGTAGAAAACAGTAATACAAAAATCAGTCAAACAACTAAACATACGGCATAAATAATATGGCATTATATTAACGAAAATAAAATATTAAATAATTACTCCTGTATAAACTCTTCTCAATCTAAAAAAAAATAAGAATTTAAGACACTCATATCAATCAATCATCTCATATCAATTGACATTATTCAATATTACCAACTTAATTTCGAAATGTCACAGGGTATTTTGATTAAATTGGATGCATGGTGTTTTATTAACTGACAACAAAATAGTCAAATCAGAAAATACAGGGTGTAACGAAAAGATGGGGACAAACAGTAACCTGAGATTTCCCAGATGTAAATAAAGCGATTTAACCCAACTTATTTCTAAACCAAGATTCACAATAAAATTTTTATAATTTTTTGTTTAAATTGATAATAATTACATTATTGTTAACTAACACAAAGATACATAAAAAAATAAAACCTAAAATTTTTTAATACAATTTTAAAAACAATGTAATAATAATAATAAATGGCCAACGTTTGAATTACGTATAACAAAAATATGACTCGAAATGTGTTAAGTTATTAATAGGTAAGTACAATAATAATAACACAAAAGAAATAGCACCAAAACATTACTCCATTAAAAAACTATTAAAGAAAAACGAAAATAGTTTTTAAACTTTGACGCCTTCGAATTTTTAAACGGTGCAACTTGGTAAAGAGGTATGTTGGGTTACATGTTCACATGAGAAATATCAGGTTACTCTTTGTCCTCATCTTTTCGTTACACCCTGTATAGTGAATATAAGTGTTTCTTCTTTTAATATAAAAGCCTAACTACTTTACTAAATAGTTTACCTTGATCACATAGAATGCCACCCCAGTTAGTGTCGCAAATACACTGCCATGATGACCCATTGCAGTAGCCATGCTTGCACCCAGGATACGGTTCACACTGGTCGCAGAAATCCCCTCGCCACCCAGGCCGGCAACTGTAAAATCATAAAATCCGTATAAAATCTTTCAAAGGCGTGTAAATACACATAAATAGTTTTTGTTGCAATAATTCCTCTTTTCCTCGTCTCGGCTTTTCCGTTCCTGGTACAATGCAATCATTGCTCCGTTTTATTGTGGTAAGAGCCGTGACAAATTCGCACCTCCACCATCTCTAACAATGTTAATACTCCGGACGGAAATACAAATTTGCTTAAAAAAGGACTCATTTTGTGTGCTTTGCTCTCAAGAAATGCGAATTTCACGCCGAAGAGCGTTGAGCGTGTCTGCAATAGCGGAGACTCCGACGCTGGAGCAAGAAACGAACCCTTGAAGGTTTTGCAATGTAGAGTGGAGTGCACGCCCATAGCAATAATTTCCTTTGACCGCGTTTAGATTTTATCGAAAGCCGTGAGGAGCCCATCCGCTCTGGCATTAATTACAAAAGAAAGCAGTAGGCGTAGCTGTGCTAATACAACAGAAGTTAATATATAATCTTCGGATATCTGGCATCAATAACAACGAAATATAATCGTTTGTAATAACCGACAATTAAATTCGTATCAGATTTATGAAAGGGGCCTAAAAATGTGCAGTTACGAAACCGAGTTACTTAAACTCGAACACAATTCATCAAGTGTAATTTTCGCCCAACAGCAGTAGACACGAAAACTTCTAAGGCATTAGAGTAGTTAAAGTATTCGAGGACTTCCTTATTTTTTAATAATAAACAAAAACGTTTACTTAATTGCAATTTTGAGCAGTGACCTCAGTAATCTAAGAGCCACTTTGATTTTCAATAACTCATTGTTAAACGAGGACATGTCATTATTACATAAATAAAGGCCGACAATTATTACAGATCAAGAAATAGCATAAACCATTTCCATATTTCCAGTGCATTATTTTTTTTAATCGAGTGTTAAATATACAATTCATTACTCCAATTAGTAGAAAGCGAATTACCAAATTCAAATTAAGTTGTTTACTTTGTATTGCCCGATGCTAAATTAATCTCCAATCAAAATTTTATTACAATTAAAACTTTCTCAAATAGTTGAAATATTAATTTTTTTATTAATAATAAACTACAAATTATTGATATTGATGCAACAACTTATGAAAATGAAAACAAAAAAAAATTGTACTATTGAGGTCAAAATACTTTGGTCGTCATATTTCTCGTTTAAAAAAAATGTAAACCAAGCTTAACGCCAATTCAATACTGATGACAATTTAAAATTGTTCTTTTGACAAAAATATGCAACGGTGAGTCTGACAGTCACAATCAGTGGCATTAGTTGATGGTTCTACAACCATCATAATGCTTGCTTTACAACTTTATGTCACTCAAATTTAACCACCGGAGTAATTTCTCCGCATCTGTACTTACAACTAATTGAAAGAAAAGCAATTACCAAATTCGGAAATACACATTGAATTAATGCTAGAAGAGTAGGTAGGAAGGTTTTAAATACTCACTTTAACATATTTGTATAGTAAGTTTTTGTTATGGTCTATTTTTAATTAATCAATCTTAGTTGAATTTTTTTTTGTGAGCCTAGAAGTTAAAAACAACTCAAAAATGTTATTATTACAAATGAAAAATACAATTACAAAAATACTGAAGGACACAACAATTTGCAAACATTTAAACAGGCCAATTAGAAAATTTTGAAAATTTTGTAATTATGTTCTGCAAATCTAACAACAAATTACCAAAAACTTAATTACACATTGTTGTGTTACAAACTACGAGTACGTATGGTTATGTGTATCTGACTTAAGTCAAAAGGCGACTAGATCAAATTTTGACTTTTAAAGTTAAGATAATACCAAACGTCACAATAATTCCTAAATCGATTAAAATAAAATTAATTATTTAAAAACGGCATAAAGAGGGCAAATTACAACAAAATAGTTTAAAAAACTCGTCTCATAAGACCTTGAAGCACTCATTTTTTAAAATAATTCGTGGCTACGTCACTCGTTTTTTAAACTTGAATTCGTGCTTTAAGTCTTATTAAAACTTGTTTTTTCATTTACTATTATCTCAGTTATTTTTATAATGTTTGTATAATAAACACAAACTCAAAATCTAAAAATTTCTAACCTTCGTTCCTTTTAGAAACCACGTATCTGGATAAGCGCGTATTATTATAAGTGATCTAGTATTTTTCATTTTTGTGAATAATTAAAATAAATTAAATTGTTGAAGTTGCAAATAAAACGAGAACTGACAGTGCAATAAAGTTAAAGTTAAATAAAATGCAACATGTAGACCTCGCTTGCGGCAAATCAGCTTAAACGTGTAATTATTAAATGGTGATATTTTAACGTCTCGATCCCAATTCAATTTGCACTAAGAAGCTGCCGTTTTATTTATTTCTGGTGTAATCAAATCTGAAAACACGTTTTATTTCATAATATTGAGAAATTATTAAATTAGGTCTCATCTATACAATTATATCTCTTAAACGCGACTTTCCTATCAATTAGGCAAGTTCCAAATGTTATGACTTGATGGAGGAAGTAATTGAGAGGAGGATCACGTCATCACGTAACTCGCTCAGATATCTTATTTATTGAAGTTAACGGAAAAAGCGATTCTACAAGATTAAATTATATCAATTGTCGGATAAATTGTATCTAACATAAAGAAGATACGTCAATTATTGAAGAAATAAATCAGTTTTAGGTATGGAATTGGATGGATACGTGAGAAAGACTGGACTCGCGGAAACCACGACATGATGAATTTGTGAAGCTTTTTTTCACTTGGAACTCTTCCTTATACAATTTTTAATTAGACTATCCATTCAGAGATTAAAGAAGATTGATATGACGGAAATGATGTTAAGTTGCTAAATAATGGAGATAACATAAATACTAACTTGCATTCGCCGGGATTATCACATTTGCCGTGGACGGGATGGCAGCCAGGTTTACATACAGCTGAAACAGAAGCAAGTAAAGAAATTGTTTAACATGGGAAAAAGTCGCGTGCACAAAACCATAATGAGCACATAACACGTCCTGACAGTTAAGAGGAAATAGTAAATTCTCCCTTCGAGATGGTTAAGCGTGATATGTCACTCTGATACTACTGGTGGCAATGAATATTACTATAAAACCTTGTGAATCAAGAGGTTAAATAAAAATAAGAAATATTTAAAAAATATTTTTTTTCACACTAACTGTAGAAGGTATAATCATAATAGGCTTTACATATTAAGGAACTAAATTTGTCATTAAAAAAAGTGAGGTTAAGATAGTTAAAATTTTATTTCTAAATAAAGATTTGTCAACAAGAAATTACCACCTAGGATTTGAATTTTTAGGAAAATTACGTTTTTCATGTTGTTTGTAACTAAAATTTTCAGAAGTAATTTTGAATGCCTAGTGTTGGTTACCCCTTGTTGTTGACGGTTGACGTTTTCTGTCAACCTGCTGTCAACTATCAATTGAGTTATCTATACAAACTGACAGGTGACTTAACCTAAATTTTTGACACTAGTTACGATATCTTTTGTTTGTCACTAAAAACCAACCTAACCAAATCTATGGCAACCTATTCACGAATATCCCTAAATCCTAGGGAGTAATTTATTGTTGATACGATAATAACCCTCTTTCAGGGGTTTTCAGAGAAAGTTTTTTTCATAAAAAGTTTAACATCCTGTTTCATCCCTTTGTAGGTATAGTTTTAACACCAAAAACATACAATATTTGATTTGAAGAAAATACAAACTTTCATTGTTATAAGTGGCTTCCAGGAATTTTAAAAGACGTTTTATTCACACCAGAGATGAAACACAATTTGTTTTCCGTGAAAGTTGCAGCCAAAAGGGGTTTGGATTTGGTCATTAAAAATGTAAGCTAAAATTGTGAATTTTTAAACAATGGTAAAATTGATGCAATCGGAGGGGAAAAAGGAAATCTGTACAAAATGAAGCTTCGCGTTCTGAAGCCTGAAAAATCGTGTTTTGCCATGGATAAAGTAATTTGGCTTAATTCAAATTGGTATATTTGATTCCATTAACCTAAAATGCCTAAAACAGGAACAACAAAAAGAAATTGATTATGTTTTCAAACATACCTTAGAGTGTACTTTAAATCTGGGGTTCTGAAGAGAACTACTTTTAAATATAATGTGAAAAAATAGTGGGAATAACGAACAAGCAACGAAAACAGTGAAAAAACGAATACAAATGTCAGTCATGTCAGTTCAATAAACCATGAAGGTAAGTAATTAAAGAAAAACAAAATCCCAATCAGCTGTTATATCAGGGACATGCGCAGGGCTACAAACGTAAATACGAAATTTCCATATTATGCCAATTTTAATGAAATTCATTTTATTGATTCATTTGAAATTATTTTTGACTATGAAATTAAGTTAACAAATATAATGTTGCCAACTTAATTTCAATGGCACATGCCCATTTAATCAAAAATTTGGTGGACAAGTTTCACAAACAATACACAAAATAAAAATAAAACAATAATGAATAATTTATGGTTTTGTACAGTCGCACTTTTTCTAAAACGTTTTCAAGTGGTGATTATGATGGAACTCATACGAACCAAAATCACAGGTGGCGCCTTTCCATCCCTCTATACACTCTTTGTCCCCATTGGCGTCGCAGATATAATGCCCAAACTTGTCATCACGAGGCCGGCAAAACTTGGTACAGGTGGCATTGTAATAATGACTATCACATTTGACACGCACCCTGTAGGTGAGCGTGGCTCGAGGACCCCTGTGGTTGAGGGTGTGCCACTCGGGGCTCGGATCGATGATACCCGAATACGTAGCTTCTTCAATGATATCGTTAGTAGCTGAAAAAAGGAAAAAATCACATTGAGGAGGAAGAACAGAAGCTTGGACGATGGTGTCGAGCAACGTCCTTGCCTAAAGACATTCGTGATTGAATCGGAAGACTGCCCACGCAACAACGATCGCGCACACCCCCGGGACAATCGTGTAATCGTTCTCGTTCTCCATTCATAAAGCGGTGTATGGCGGCCTACTGTGTGTTATAGTTATAGCATGTGCTACCCGCCGGGAGTGGGTGGGGTTGTTCATAAAACCATCGCATGTAAATGATGATTTGAACTCGAATTCTAATTTAACCGGCTTGTGCCACTTCATTCGGTGGTCAGTCGAGTGATTTTTCTCTCAATGTTTTTTTTATCAGGTGTTGAGTGCCCGTTTCGAGTTGTACCAAACAAATTAAAACGGTGCGTGGTCGTCTGTAACAACCTCTTGAATCTGTTTTGTTTGAGGTAGCAGAAGTGTCAGCACCCAGTAGGTTAATTAGTTTTATTGGGAAAACATCACTCGAACACTCGTAGAAAGTGTGAGTTCGTGTGGGCAGATTCTTGAATAAGTCAAGATGCACTCGCACCTTATGATAGAGGACGATCCAATGTTGGGTGTTTAACGCCCACAGAACAAAACGCTTTTTCAACTGATATACTTACCAGGTAATGTAAAATTATTATGATCCACAGCCTGAAGAATGAGGGTGAACGATCTCTGCAATAAAATAAAAGTAATTAGTGACTGAATTTTGTAAAATTTGATTAATTGTTCAATATAATTAGATTTAATTACAGCTTTGTTGAATGAAAATTTTTTTTGGTGGGATTAGTCAAAATTTTAAAAATTCATCCTTACAAAAATTTGTGACTATAAATTTGTCGACTGTGACCATTTTATTTTATTTCGTCTATGTTTGTAAACAATGGTGGAGCCTATTGTTTTAATAAATATTCTTTTATAAATCTCTATCATTTTAATTTAGATCTAATATCTAATCTAATAAAGCGTTACCATTTTAAAGTCATTTTCTCAAACCTAGCGGACCCTATATTTTTTAGTAAATCTCTAAGACTTTTACTATACCTTTCATCAATTCAGTGTAAATAATATAAAAACAAATGGCATACTTTAAAACTAAGTGATGGAATTTCGAATAGATCCAATATGAAAACTTTATTAGTATTTTCACAACTTGTGTCAACTTATTGGTTTGTCAAAATTAAAAGAAAAAATCTCGTCTTGCCACTAATTAAGAAATACTATTCTGTTAAGTCATTGTAGAAAATTTAGCATAATTTCCTAACCGGTATATAGATTACGGTAAGAATATAGAAAAGTACGTACCCATTAATTTGACCAAATGAATTGATCTCTTTAAACTATTAAATAGTTTTTTTTTTCAAATGGTGACAAATTGAAAACAACATTTTTCATAATTTCCGACGATTTTAAAATGTCTAATTGTTCATAAAATAATAATAGAAATCACATCAGTTTAACATGAGAGTGTACACAATATATTATTTGGAAATGTTATATTCAATGTAACATTAGATGTAATTAGTATTTTTTAATTGTAATGAAACCTTTGCCTCTTGAATCTCCTGGAAGGTCTCGCAAATAAACTCATTTAAATACAATTAAAGAACGAACTAGATGTAAAGATCTAACGACAAGGAGATAATGCGACTTTGAGTGCTTTATCGTTTCCGGTTTTAACACGATTGAAATGGTCATTTTATGAACAGTTTAACACTCAAGGATGTCTTCTCTGGGTGCTAATTTGGATAACATAGGTAATCTAGAGAAAGACCCTCTTGAAAATTTCGATTGCAATCGTGCACTGAAGAGTACAATTTCCTTTTTTGATCCAAATATTCGCACGGTTCCCAAGTGGCATCACATCCAATTTATCAACCTGTAGGGGTCTAATCGTAAAATTATACATCGTGTCTTGTGAAGTGTAACGTTTATTAACGGTCCATTCAGCGTTTAACAATTAACCGCTCATTAGAACATTTTTAACTGCTTTTTCACACTAATTTCATTCCGCTTGCAGCAGCACGGACTCCATAAACATTTAATAAGCGTCGCTCTTCCTTGTAACTATTCTGTTTTCAATCTGGAACGTCAAAAACGTCAAAACGTCAAATCTCGCCAAGAAATGCTTTGAAAGAGATGGATATTCGTGATAAACATTAATGTCGGTTTGATTAAAAATAAGGCAGAAATCTCTAGAGAAATAGGTAGTCTTTTTTTGAATTGAATGAAGTTTCCCCCGGGGAACTGTTGATGGGCTTTTTGGTCGTGGAACGAGTGGCAAGGTGGCGAAGTGCCACCGTCTCCTCGTCCGTGAAGGAATGTATTCAATTTAACGGATAATGTCCGTGCCTGAGAACGGCAGACGATTTCTTTGTGATTTCTGCACGTACCCGGAGCGCCTCTCGCACTTACCGGTAGCAATCCACATTTATTCCACGTGAAATATCACTACCAATCTCGCCAACACAATAATCGAGTTCACCGACATCGTTTTACAAGACCACCACGAAAAAGAAGAAAAAAATATGAAAATGCTTCTGATCGAATTAAATTGATCGAGTAGCACGCCGACATTTAAAGACCAACTTCAAATCGAAATGGTTGAAAGTGTAAATATCACAAGGAAAGTCTAAACGACTTTGTAGACTGATTTGGAGACAAAAGTCTTGTTTTTATCCCTTGTAAATAAATAGTAAAATGGTGGTTAATGTCTAACGAAAGATTTTTATTTAAAAGAACGTATTCGCGGCCAGAGTCGGATCGAAATCTTTTTGGGTTAGACCACGTCAATTTATAAAGAAAGTTCGACGTTTCGCCGGCTCTTATAAGAGGCATCTTCAGGACAAAAGGAGAGAAAGAAATATACTCAGTATTTGAATGATACCAGAGGCGAAACCAGTTATAAATGCGGCCTAATCCAAAAACACTCAGATTCTTATTTACTTTATCTACTAATGATCAAAGTAAAAGTGGATACTAGAAAAATTAGTAATTAATAAATAATTTTATGTTTATAGAGACCCCTTTTACGAAAATATAAAAGTTGTGTATGCATCCATTTTGTTAGTAATTTCAGCATTATGTAATCTAGAAACAATGTATTTAATTATTGCAAATGTATTATGTATATCTCCATTTGGAAGTATAAATATTGTATAAAATTAATAAATCAATTGAAAAGGTTACACTGAATGCAGTTACACGTATGACTAATACATTGTAGTAGCAGAAAAATAATCGAAATGATATTGAAGACGTAATTTTGTACTTGTGCCATGTTAGTTACTTTTTCTTGTTTTTAAACAATCAACAAGCAATGTTGCAAAAGGAAGTACATAAACTCAAACGGATATCAAAATTATTCAATTCAGCACTCTCACTCAGAGCTAATAGCTTATTAAAGACACAAAGTATACAATTTGTGCTAAGAGTAAAAAATGTCAAAATTCGAATAAGATTAATATAAAAACGCTGCCCTTTCCAAAACCTTTAGCACCAAATGTTTATTTTCTACTTCCTACTAAAGAAGAAAATTAGATTAGGTTTTTTCCATATTAATGCTTATACTCTCTCGCTTTGCTCGTTGGTGCTTCAAACGGCACTCACTTGAACTAAAAGAAATTTGGAAACAGCATAGTGGTTAGACCCTCCAGCGGCTCGTGTCCATCAACCCGTTTATGGCATTATCGCCCATAAATAACGTCCAGCGGAATGATTTTATGCAATTTGTTCCGTACCATGTTGATGCTTTATTCATGTACGCTTCCCATAATATTGTCCTTATTTGTCGTCAACGACCGATTATTACGTTAATAATTATGAGACCGCTAAAACGGCCTATTTGATGTCGTGAGATTGTTGCCCACGTTGACATCCCATTCAGCTCGACAACGTTATGAAATATCGGGTGTGTTGATTTCTTTTCTGAGACACCGGATTCCTCTTTAAAGACATCATCCGGAAATAATTGAGTTTCTAAAAGCAGCGCTCTTTTTGACAGGTGAAGCACGGATTTTTCCTGTCTCCAATGAACCGAATCGGCAACCGTTTTTCACAAAACAATGTCGTGTTTGTAACAAGAACACATTCACCGTTAGTTTAATAACAAATAAATCAAGATCATGTGTAGATTACACGGGTTACCACTTCAAGGATAAAATTATCTATGATTACGTTTAAAGAAAGGTGTGTGACATTCGCATTACTCTATTAAATATTAATCGATATACATTCCATTTCTTAAAGAAAATAGTCAGTTTCAACTATTTTTCTCGTCTAGTCTGAATCATTAGATTACCTACACTCGAAAAGGCAATCTGCTTTAATTCACACCAACTCAAATATCAATTATGTAAGCACGAAATGCGATGCTTATTGTGTTCCATTTGACGATATTGTATTTCCGTGGGCGCCTCATTGAAATTAAATTGGTAATCAAATCAAATTTCACCTGCGGTCGGCCGCTATTATACGATGATTGTCAAAATTGCCCCTGATTAGCTTACAAAGAAAGCCAATTCTGAAATAAAAGGTGTTTTAAATTATTAGATCAGTTTATGATGTAAACATTGTTAATGTAGTCAGAAGAGACTTGTTAGAAGAACTAAAAATTTCTACTAATTATGTGATTAAAGTGAACGTAATTACGGAAATAAATTGAAAATTAAACGTTCTCTAAGAACAATGAAGCTACAACCACAAAAACAAAGCCCTCATTAGAATCGTAAACTAGATTAATAATACGTCAAAACTCATTAGAAAGAGTTGTCTTACAAAACTCATTTCACCGATGCAAAATTACAAGGCAAATTTAGCAAGCTTTTGTAGATCTTTTTGCACTTAAAAGGATTAAATTATCTCAGAAATCGCAAATCGGCTACAAAAAAGCTTTCATTTAAAATAAAATCATTACATGTTGATTAACGTGTCTTTTTTAAAGCTGTCTTAAAATCACTAAAGCATTTTTCAAGATGTAAAGACTAAAACTGTCTTAAAATACGTATTTCCGAAACTAACGGTTCTTATATCATAACCATCTTTATCTAAATTTTATCTGTGTAAAGTCTAACTCAAGATCAGCGTTTAAATGAGTACTCTATGGAGTACTATAAGTAACTCGGTAAGCTGACTAAACAAAACTGAAAGGAAAAATTAAACACTCCCTGGCAGCCAAAGTCAAAGATTACTAAAAGTTGACCTGAAAGCTTCCGCCATTTCTACTTTATTTATTCTAATATAGTATTCATTATTTCATTTTTTCATTTTCTTTAATTTTCGTTCCAAAATGCTATCAAGCCATATTGTAACTCTAATGTAATAAATATTTTTGGGCGATTAGACTATATTCGATTGTTTACTACTAGTAAGTTTTATTTACTCGTTGCTATCCCGGTAGAGATTTTTATTCACAATCACTAATGTAATATGTCGATTACTAACCTTTTAAAAGTTGGGAAACACATTATTAAATCTCATGAGAAGTAATAATATTACTTCTCTTGGGCTGTAATATGAAGGATAGCCAACTTTAAAATTACAAAAATACCGGGAATTTTTCTGTCAAGATACGCATAATATTTTACTAAATTAATATTCAATTGCTTTTGTAACAGTTTCTCTTACTCCTGGGAGAGCACACTGCTCCATTTCGACGATTTTAAATCAGATTCACA